TTATTCGAAAGGATTGGGAAAAGGTGTCTCAATTTGTCAACGTCATCTTTGCAGGAAAGTCTAATGGCATTTCTCCCATCGTGACATCGGATGAAAAGACAGTGTCCAAGGTTCTCCGCCGGACACAAATGTGGACGCCCATCTGCATGTTAAAAACCACCAATTGCCAAGGCTACATTATATGTATGTCAGAAGCGATTATTCGCGTCGAAACACCCGAGCTCGCAAGAATACAGCCCAATCCACGGTCGTGACAGACTACACCAGGGGTCTAGAGGATATCTGGAGCTCCGCCCAGATCTGATGTTTATTAGGCGGCCCCTGTAGATGTGCATAGTTGCTGATGTTTCCACCAATACAAGCAATGGGGTTGGTCAATCGAGGTCTGAAGCCTGTACACGGCGTAATGCATCTGGACCGCGCAATGTGATCGCCACTGATTTCTCAATTGGGAGAAAGGGAGAATGCGGGCGGCCGGCCACTATGCACACAAGGCCATTATGGATCATGAAGGGAGTTGCTTTCGCGGCGGAATTCTCGGCCCATGTAACGACGACGCCGACCACGCGTCTCCGTCCAGGGTGCCCCGGTTCCCCGTTCTGGGCATCCAGGGGGGCACCCCTCGAGTTTACACAGCTCAGAACCAGTAAGAGACTGGCGTCCACCAAGAGACAAGAAAATCCAGGACGGCATGGTCACTTCTGCGCACATCTGAAGCAGACGGCACATCACCCTTTGCTAATTTCTTAATTCCCGGACTTTGGTTCCAGATTCGACCAAAACCAATGTTGGTTGAATCGGAAACGCTCCGGTGAGGGGACAATGTGGGCACGACGTGGAGAAGTTAACTCTAATAATAGTCTCAACCAATCGGTTTACCTGTCACATACGTACAAAGATGCCCGGTCAGTTTCGATGTTCTAGTCTACGTTCGAGTAGTATTAATTGCGTACATCCCTAGCTAGCATCGAGTATGGAAGACGGTTGGAACGGACATAGTTATTTGGCCGCTCCGTTGGACTCGTTAGATAGTTGGCATGGTATGCAAGAAGCGGTACTGGCAAGAATAGGTGAAGACTAGCCCTCATTGCCATGTTTCGGAGTTTATCCCCAGCCCGCCAGCTAGCTACGTTAGGGGCTCCATACCTACTACTACGCAGTCGTAGTTAGTATGTAGTATATTGTAGGATTTGTTTCTACTAGCACTCTCATGCTTTTACATTGCACTTTTGTGGTGATTGAGCATGATTCTTTTTTCTTTTTACAAACTGTCACTCCTTGGTGTGTGATCTTTTAGGGTTCTGATGCGCATGCTCGCAATGCCTTGGCTCCCTCTTTCTTCTTCATGGAGGGGCTGTTCCGGATTCTGTGTACAGCCCCGCCGGGATCTTCATATTATCATGTACTATAGCATAGATGTATGTATGGCTTCGAATCGGAGTCCTCGGCAGCCAAGGGTCCACGCTTCTAAAAGGCATAAACTTGTAGGCGATGTACGTACTTGCGAGTTTGACAAATCAGTCGGGCTGCGACGCAAGGCAGATTCCTGCTTCAGCCGCAAGAGCCGCCTCTCCCTTGGCCCATGGGACTTACGACGCCGCAACATCATCCTCGTGGTAATTGAATATGCACGATATTTGCCGCTTACATTCATGTCATCTGTAGAATGAAGGAGATATGAGAACAAAACCCGCGGCAACCTCGGCTACCAAGTCAAGACAGATATTTGATATTTGAATCATGAAATCTGCGGGTGCAAGGGACTGAACCTGGACGTTGGAAACTTGGAAATTCGGGGATTGCTCCATCAAACAGAAGAGTCCAGCCCACGTTTTAATCAATATCAAGTATAAAAGTCCCCGAAGGCTGGAATCAACTTATATCGCTTAAGTCTTGACTGGGATTTCGCTTATCTATTGGCCCTCTTGGACCCTCAAGGGACGGCCTTCGCTACCGTGGTTGACAGGTTCTGACCTGGGAAGGCTGGGACTCTAGTATAATACACTGCAAAACTCTTGAGGTACTGACCTTATTTGTCATGTGAATATTCCAAGCAAGCTGGAGTGAAACGGAATTTCGCCGCCCACATCACGACCTAGTGGGCCACGATGCCTCAACGGCTCCGCTAGAGTGTCCACTGGCCGAGGGCCGAGATCACCAACACGTGGCGCTGGACCTATCTGATACAGTGGTCTTGCCTGTAAATAGATAGACGTAGTATTCACTATTGTTCATCTCGAAACCTGGGAAATTTTATCTTGCGGGTCGTTCTCGAAGTCGTCCTCGGAATAGCAGGCTTATTTGAAGATGAGAAATGCTTACCTCGCCAGGGGATAATGATGGGTCACTAGCAACATGGTCCACAAAGAATCTGAAGAATCAACTAGGATGCGCCTGGTACCAACCAGAGTGCGACCGAGCTCGAACGGATCGTTTGATAGAGCTTTGAGAAGTGATACTGCAGCGGCCTCATTATGATTGATCACTTGGAAGGAAAACGCAACGGCAAGCACACTTTTAGAACCAACGCGGATCGACGAATTGCTTTATTTCCCCATGACTCCCGGTAGGCATGAAGGATTTGGACTCCGCGGCAAATGGCAGGATGCTTATCTTGTAATTTACCGCGAAAGTCTCCCCATCCGCTAGAAAATTGGAGTCGAATGCATGAGAACAGAGTTCCCTATTCTCGGAAGCTCAAACAGGTCTGAGAAGATAAAGAAAAGAAACAAGCGCGACAGTGAAGAGCCGCAGTGTGGGCTTTCACCCTTGTGGATGTCCTGAAAAGCAATGACATTCCCGTTTAAGTTTGAGTCCATTATCGATGCGAGCCTTCAATTGAGGATAAAGGGATTGTACAATCCCTTGTGTATCAATCACATGCCATGAACACATGGCTGATTATCACCGTGCTGGGCTGGAGTCTTCTTGCTGAAGCGTCCATCACAACTCTTCGCTCTTTGTGTCTACCCTATAGGTTCCGGCCGACGTATAAATCACAGGTCTAGCATTCATTTATATATGCTGCAAGTGCCTAGAGTTCTGGTAAGGGGCACCCGGCACAATAGGCTTTACGCTGGAAGAGCCTGAACAGCGTGTTGTCATATGATATCAGTTCTTTCGACCCTAATTCTAGCATCTCCCCAATGTACAAACAAAGTCTGTTACACGAAATGTTGTTCCTCAGAAGTATGAAGAATTCTCTAAAGCAATACTTGTTAAACAACGGCTCTGTGGATATCAAGCTCAAGGAGGCGTTTGAGATCGACGAAGCTGGCTTGTGCGATTAGGTCACAAGTCCGATTGGGCATCTGCAATGCAATCAGCTTGGAACTGGGCCCTCAGGGCATGTAAAACAAAGTATTTAAAGTATTTCATGGTAATGACTTACTCCATTGCAATGTATTGAGTAATCAACGCGACCAAAAATGGCGGTCGTGTATGAAATGGCACTCTGGATCGACTCTTCCGCGCCGAGGTCAAGCTGGACCGCTTCGGCCAGGAACTCTGGATGCGTGGCCAGCGCCCTGATTTCTGACGCCGTCTCTTCGGCGGCATCAATGTCGATGTCGGCAACGACCACACCGGTAGCGCCCTCTCTGGCAAAGGCGTAGCAGCAGGCTTTGCCTAAACCACTTGCTTCAAGGCATTGGGAATGTCAGTTATTTGGCCATTGTGTGGGTATGGGGGGGGGGGGGGGATCATATCACCTCCTCCAGCAACAAACGCATATCCACCGACTTCCATTCTGGATGTAGCTGATTTTAAATCTTGGTATATGCCGGAATAAGGATGATCAGAATTGTGAAATGCTACCCGAGCGCCGATAGAGCTCCGATTCAACACCAATCAAGACGCCAGAACATTACTTATTAGACGTTCTTGTGATTAACTAGATTATAATTATATACAAGAAGGTTGAAGTGGGAGCGCCCAGGATTTGGCACCAGCGCCCCAACCTAATGTAAGAGCGCATCGGCAACCCGAGTAAGCTTTGATTACTGGTACAATTGCGTATATCATATATTCTAGTGTCATTCTTTTTGTACTTGCTAAATTTTGCCTGGTTTGTCGAATGAACTACTTGATCATGTCCGACGAAACCATCATTCTTGTGGAGCGATAGTCGCAATGCAAAGCAGCGTTGAAATAGTACATATCCTACTCCGTTCCGCGGTGGTTGACGGGTTAATTACTGCATACCTACTTCGGTAGGCTGTCAAGTCAAACTCTCTCATGGACATATCCATCGAGAAGAATGTCTTTGGTCAGGGTGGATCTTGTTGGTATAAGCAAGCATCAAGGTAAGCGAGCTTCATTGGTGGGCGGGCAGGACCCGACAGTGCTTACGGCGCTTACTAATTCGCAATCACTGGTGTCATCGCCAGTTCGGAATCCCCTGGTATGACTCCTAAAAGTGCTCGTTGAACCTCGAATGCGGAAACAATCAAATAATTTCGATTTTCAATCATTACGATAGTATGATGAGTAAAAGAGCAAGAGATGTTGGGAATCCCTTGGACTCGAGTCCAGAGGGGACCAAGGTAGGCTCAATCTCAACCCACTTCTCCGGCTTACAAATGGAGATACGCATGTGCTGATCAGCTTGCCTGAACCTAGAAACGTCGCGAAAAGGGAAGACTAGCACAGCGAGCCTTTAGACAAAAGCAAATAGATACCATCAGGATCCTCAAGGATGAAAATCAAAAGTTTCGCGATGCGATTGCTGCCATCAGTGCTGCGGCTGCCGGGAACCAGACAGCCTTGGGCCACGCCATTGAAGATGCGCAGATATTAGCCGGTACGGGTCGTCAGGGCTCAAAAGTCGTCGGCAGGGTCGAGTCAAATCCTTCCAGCAACGAAGCGGCAGATTCATCAATAGAAGCAGCCCCCAAATCGCCAGTATGTGAGGAAGATGTCATTGGGCCAGTAGACGATTGGTCGCATCAGAACAATTTCGAGGCCGCCAATCTTCTTCCATCACCTAGCAATGACTTGGCCCTCAAGATCACGGGCGCTCCAGAGGAGATAGCTCCCTACCTCGGACCCGCGGCCTACTCTGTCGCCGGCCAGATCCATTGGATCGCCATAGCGTACAGCTACGCGTCGGCGAAAGCACTGCGCGAGGCCGCTTCTTCGTTGCACTTGAACAAGGACTCATCTCGGGCTTTTGGCAAGACGCTCCAGTATGTCACCATTGATGATGTGCTCTGCGTCCTTCGCGGCCGCCTCATGTACCGGAAGCAAGGCTTCATGGCGGGCGATGAGAATCAGGGTCATGACCCGTGGATGGCCAAGGTAGTGATGATGACCATTGTGCAAAACTGCGCCCCATCGGACAGCAATCTACTCTTTACGGCGTTTGATGTTGCCGACTGTCTGCGTTGCGAGCTCGGTGACAGGTTTGCACAGCTCGAGGCGGCGCTGGCCGGCACGGCTACCGATTCATGGGCTGCAGTTACAAGGGAGTTTGTGAGGGAATTGGCATTTCAGGCGATATGTTACGGTGCAGGGCCGAGATGGCGCATCGAGCATGTTGTAGAAGCAGCTCAGCGGTGGGCCGTCGGGACAAGTCTACTTCGGCAATGATTGCAAAGACGGCGGAGCTGAAGCAAGACCATCATGACGGCATGATCAGAGGACGGATCCTTCGTTTTGTTCTTTGTAAACGCAAAATGTCTGTATATTTTCTCTATGTAACCCATCTATATAACCCCACTATATTCTTTGACCACAAACATTACTATTCGCAGTTGTTGACGCGCGTCTTTCCTACTACATTGCCCCTGCCCATAGTTGATTATCGGAACACCAGTGTGGCTTGAAACACACCAAACTAGATCATGGCTTGTTCCTGTTCGTGCCCCTGAGTAGGTGATCTCGATGGTACTTCAGACTCTACCCTCACGATCTTGATGGTGACTTTTTTGCTTTTCCCTACATCCTGACCCAAGAACGGAAGCTCTCTTGGCTTTCCCCAGACGTCACATGGGAGAAACCTCCACGCCCCCGCGTGCGTTCTTGACAGCGTCTTGTCAATGGTGTGCAGTGCAATGAGCGACACTCCCGGCCAGTTTCTCCCCCCAGCAGATGTGGTATCGCGCATCCGCATGAGCATGGGCGGGACAATGTGCATGTCCATGGCCCCGCTGGCCTCCTTGTCAATCTTGCGGTAGATTTGCGAGATGCGGCCGGCCTTGAATTTGGCCTCGGGCGAGTTCATCTGGTCGCAGAGCCAAGGGATTTCAAGAAGGATGGAAATTGTGTCGGCGAGGTGCGATCGGAAAGGCACACCGACGTCGTTTATCAGGCCTTGAAAGATTCCGGCATCATATGTCTCGACTTGCGCGTGGGTTTCCTGCACATAGTGGAGAAGGCGGTCTAGAGAAGGTATGAAATCAGTCTCCTCCTGAATTCGGGCCAAAAGGAATCCTGGCTTTTGGAGAGCCTCCTCGAACTGGGGAAATATGCTATTCCGTCTGAGATTATCGTAGTATTGAACCCAGAGCCCCCAGCATTGCACTAAGAACAATAGGTCTGTAATGTCTTGGAGGTCCTGCAGATGAGGTGCCTGTAGATAGATGGCATTCAGTCCTCGTAGCGCCGCATTGTGTTGATGTGTCATGTCATTGGCGACAAACACAGCTGGGTGTCGGGCCTACAAGCGAGTCAGCACTGTACCCTGGTATGATATCTCGTCGGCGCAGTGTCTGCTTGGGTTTGCATGGCATACATCGTGTGCGACTGAAGGACTCTTCAGTAGAGAGAATGGCTGATCTGCCCATGTTCCGCGAACAGCTTCAGCCTGCCTCTTGGCAGCGGCCGAAGGTGTCGAGTCGGGACCAGCCACTGAAGATGCCTTGGACGAGGTGCTTCTGTCCGAGCTGACTGTTCCACTCCGTGATGGCGTCGACCGCTGCGTCGAAGTACTTGTCACAGACATTCTTATGGTTCTCAGCTGGGTCCGATCATCTTCACTCAGAGATGATTTGAAAAGTGGTGAATCCAGAATAGGCCAAAGTTACGATTCTGGAGGTTCTGGATATTTATCAGATACAGCTTGGGTTGTCTCGAAGTAGAAACGTTCTAGATGAGCTGTGGTCTTTTCCCGCTAGAACACTCATGAGCATACTCGGATCGGCCGTGACCAGCAGCCCTTTCAAATTGTTTCACTCCCAAGAAGAATAGACTGGTCCAGTTCCTCTACAATGGTCCAATCAGAAAACGTCGGTGTTAGCGATGTGCTGGGGCTGGCTCTCCATAGGGGCGTGTCTCAATCGTGTCTAGCCTGGTTGAACTTAAATCATGTCAGCGTGGCTGCCAACACGCTGAACGTTGACTATGGTTTGCTATTTTGTGTTGGCCTGACCATGATTTTACGAGTAATTTCTGATGGACTAGGAACGTTTGATCGAATAGAAAAGTACTGGCTTTGACAAGATAGTACAATTCCTTTAGCGATGAGATATCGTCTGTGGTATCATGGAATTGGTTAACTAGAAAGATGACTATCTTCTATGACAAGCGTATGACGAGTGTTTGACTTGGTATTTGTCTCACCATTTTCCCGTGTTCCGCTTTCATGTACTTCTTCAGCGGCTACCTCGCCATTAGTTATTTTGACAGAGCCTATCATCAATAGTACAGATATTGGCGACAGAGATGCATTAATGAAGAGGGAATTCAATGTTGATGGTAAATGTGATGGTCACGGAAACAAATATTTATTATACTAAGAAGCTTATTTATAGCGAAAGCGAAAACATATCCAAGTGTGACATGGAGCGAAGCAAGTACTCAGTTTCTGCCTTGTGCCCACCTGAACCGTCGTTCTATTCGCCTCTGCTGCTTCTGTACCCTTTTATTGCACCGAAGAAAGTTTTTCGCAGCTGCTTGGATGTGAGGTGAGTTGCCAAGAGAGACATCTCGACTGATATCGTGCAGCACTGCCGCATGAATCAGGAGGTCGTTGTTCATGGTAGTTAGTTTCGCCATGCGCCTAAAGAGATGGTCTTCCCACTTTGCCCGCAGCTCGACCGGTCGGGTGTAGACCGGGTCCCATGTCTCGTACCATATCACCTCTTCTAGACCTGGCCATTGGTCTTTAGCATCGTTGGCACCGTTGGTCAAGTTGTGTAGACACATTCGTCCTTGGCAGGCGTCTCCGAAGCAGCGCTGGTGGATCTGCTCATGGCGGTGCTCTAGAGCATAGCAGTCGCACATCTCCGGCTCAAAGTCCTCGCCATCATTCAGCACCTGGTCCCCTTCAGAGCAGTAGAGGACCTCCTCCACGACCAGACAGCAGCTGTGGTACTCACACTTTACTGCAGGCAGATCCAGCAACACTGAATGCACGGGCTCGTGTACCCGGACATCTATTTCGCAGCGATGATGAAATGTGCGCAAAGGGTTCTCATAGACGCCAGCCTCGGCTCCTATGATTCCATTTGGTACTGTCATTGGCTGCCGAACATCGCAGTGCATGTGATGATACAAGACTCGACGGCACATGTTGACCCCCGCGCAGAATATTACCAAGACGAAAACAATGAATGAAAAGCAATACTCACCTTCGGAACCAGGAGCCTGTCGCTAGATCAACAATGTACAGTCGGTGATCGAAAGATTGGGCCAGCAATCTATATGGCGAAGAATCTTGGTCGAAGGTGGCAGAAGAAAACAAGATTGCCGCCTAGGTACGTTCTCAGCTGTGACTCGAGATGAAGATTGATGCTTCCAATTCACTGTGTGGGCATTGCGCATAAAAATGTGACGTTATAACCAAAATGCCCATAACAATGAAATTGATTGCACATTGTTCCACATATGCGTCTCGCTTGTGGATCGAATCCCAACGAAATCTCAATGATCCATTGTCTCTCCTTATGTGTGGTTCAAGGACTGGCAACAAAGACGCAGCATAGTGGCAATCAAGGAGCGGCGTTTGATTACTACCTATGCAGAGGGGAAAGAGGTGCAATTTGTCTAGCGGTTCGTGATTCAGGAAGCGCCCGGTGAATCTGCTACTATTGTAATTATTTCGGTGCTCATCCAATCTTGTTACCCCTGTGCAATGCGTACATGATTCGAAATCCCATACACTATGACTCAAATATCATCATAGGGCTCAAAGCTCATTGATATATATCCGCATCTGAAGTGATTAACAATCGGACCTCTCACGATTCTCCTAAAAATTGGTGCAGTGATACGTTGGGATAGAAATGGAAGTATAAGATCCAACATGTATGTTGAATGACATGTCAATTATTCTCAAATGCGACTGTAGAGGCCAAAGTCATTCGTTATTCACGTACCTTCCACAAATCAATCTCTGCGGCATAGTATAAATAAGAATTCTTGTGCCGAATACATTTCGAATATCACCATTGTTCTCAAGTAATACTCTACTTACACAGCATAGCACGACACGACACAACCATCAGCCTTAAAATCTACGACTCCTCAGAAGCCATCATGAGACTCAACATTGCATCCTTCCTGGTCATGTATGCCGCGGCAGTCCATGCTGTTCAAGGCAAAGCACAGAAAACCTTTGCCGTCCTCCGGTTCAACAATGCGCCCGGCAGCTTCAGCAGTGCGGGTCGCATGGACCCCATCGTCTTCCCCGGCTCGGACTCATCCCACACCCATGGCATCATGGGAGGAAGCAACTTCGACTTGACGGTGACTGGCGACCAGCTCCTGCATTCAAATTGTACCAATGCCAAGATCAAGAACGACAAGTCCAACTACTGGGTCTCTACGCTCTGGTTTCGCAAGGGAGGCAAATTTAAAAAGGTTCCCTTGTATTACATGAACGTCTACTACTTGTAAGTTTCGCATCCATGAGAGTGTCCGAGATCTAGTAGACGTAGGCCATGTATACTAATGTTAGTCTCACAGCTTCGAGGCCACCGATGATGAGATCAAAGCCTTCCCCCCAGGGTTCAAGATGGTCAGCGGTAACGCCTCCACACGTCTCCCGCCAGCCACTGGCAGCATCCAACTCGACCCGTCCAAGGGCACCATCCAGCCCGTCCAGTGGACCTGCCCTACGAAGAACGCAGTAGATCACTATCCTGCGGGCAGCGACGGCAGTCACGCCGGCATCCAAGATCCGAGTAATCGGCAATCCGGTGCGGGCTTTCCGGTAGTCAACTGTGACGCCGACAACTCGCCACTGCGTCAGGACATTCATTTTCCGTCTTGCTACGATCCCAGCGTCGGCACCGAGGACTATGCCAACAACATGGTATTTCCGACGCCCATTTCACCCGGCAGCGACAAGGTCAACTGTCCCAAGGGCTACATTCACGTCCCACATTTATTCTACGAGGTGTACTACGACACGGCGCAGTTTGACAGCCAATGGATCCGCGACGGCCACCACCAGCCTTTTGTGCTGTCCAACGGGGACAATACGGGCTTCAGCTCGCACGGCGACTTCATCTCGGGCTGGGACGAGCAGACGCTGCAGGCAATCATTGATACCTGCGATGTCGGCGATCGCAGCAATGGCCCCGACGGCAATGATATGGAGGATTGCCCAAACATTCCTGGTGGCTTGAACAAGGATGACAAGTGTCCGATCAAGGCACAATATCCGGATCCAGGTGACGAGTGGGTTGATGCTTTGCCAGGCAACAATCCCATCTCTGGTTGGATGCCCGACCAATAAATGCAGTAGTCCTTCATAGCGTCGCATCTACTTTCATTAGACATAGATATAGAGAATCTTGAGCGAATCTAATTTTTCGCCATCGTTGCTTCTTAAAGGGATATACATGACCAATAACCATGTCTATGAGCAAGTCTGTCCATTTAATTCTCCCATGTAATAATATCTCGTAGCTTGGTCGTACCTCAAGATGACTTCGTTGACCATCATGCTGATATCTATACTGACCTGCTGCCAGAGACAGAGTTCGTAGGATCTGGGCTCGAAACCTGGCATGAGTAGAGCACACTGCCATTTCTCCTCGCGCCCATTCTGCGCAGTCTCGTTGTCGTCCAATCCAGGCATGGATGTCTCTGCATTGTCTCGAGGACACTCATTACTGCCACCATTGTTGCGATCCACAACGTCAGAGGGACACAGCACAACCGCAAAATTCCGACTTGGGTTGCTGCCCACACCATCGCCGCTCGTTGAATCTGAATGCTTCCATTGTATTACCATGCCCGGTCGTATGCGCTCGGTAAAGGGGATAGACTCTGCGGCAGGATCAGGATCACGACTGGTCAAGACGCGTTCGCCAGCCGCCTTGGCGTCCTTGGACTCCTCGTCCACCGGCACAAAGACCCGCAGCATCTCGGCGTAGCGAAGAGTATTCTTGCTCGACTTTGCGTCGGCGAGGTTGGGGTTTACGCAGGCAATCACCACGGTCCGGGTGTCCCGGTTATCGTTTGGGTCAAAGATATGTTTGAGGACCTTGGTCAGGGCGCAGTGCCGAAAGGGAATGTGTGGTCTCTTTTTATTTGGCCGGCTGGATCTGTTGCCTCCAGCCGCCGCCGCCGCTGCCGCCGCAGCAGCAGCATCCCACTCGGCTCGCCCACGAATACAGTCCTTGAGTGTAGATAGACTCTTATTGATCTCGCGCGTCTCCTTCATGCGATCGGCGCTGTGAGACGCGATATCGCGGGCGACTTCGGACCCAGCGAGATCGACCAGGTACAGAAAGCCCGCGGGGCGCGATGAGGAATCTGACGACGGGTCCTCGATGCGGACGCGGCAGATCGAGTGCGAGCGCGACGAACCGTCGTTCTTGGACGTGGACGCGGCCCGGCGCAACTTGGTCGCGGACCTCAATAGGGCTGTCACTTGGCTCTTGTCCTCAATGCGCTGCTCGCGGGCTCCGAAAATCTGCGTCTCGCCGGCTGCATCCTCGAGGATCATGACGGACTTGCGAGCGCTCAGCAGGTCAAAGGCCGAGTTACCGGCCAGCTCGACCATGGTCATGTAAATCTGCTTGGTTCCGTCGACATTCTTGCTCAGGAGCGTGTCTATGACGAGGGCCTGCAGTCGGCTGATGGTAAATGTCTTGCCAGATCCCGTCTGGCCGTATGCAAACAGACTGCCAGTGCCCCCCTGCCACGCAAAGGATATCAGGTTCGCCACGAGGCTATTGAATATAGTCTCCGTCTTTGTGTCCGAGCCAAATACCTTGTCCATCTGATAACTCGAAGACTTTATAGTAATACATGCTGTTAGCATAACCCCAAAAAGGCTGGCGCGAAAGAGCCTCTGAATTGTAACGCTTACCCTGAGTTGGGGCCGTCCACTGGGGTGATTATACAAATCGTGCAGATCTAGGACATTATTCTGCATCGACCGCGAAAAGATTGCGCAAGGAAAGCGAGAAGCAAAGTCCTCGTCTAGCATTGGCCGTATGCGAGCGCTCACAATCATTTTCGAGTTGCTTGTCTCGGCCGTCACCGTCCCCGGGGCTGAAGGGGGTTTGAGCCCCTTGAGCAAAGTCTGGTACTGAGACACATTTTCAAGATAGAATTGGTCCATTTTTCGTTTGTGAATAAGGGATTGAGTTGATTCCTGGATTATCAGGACACTGCGCAGTTTGTCATGTGCGTTAGTATAGAATTTAAATATAGGGGGGCTACCATTGTTTTTATTGGTGCCTAGATAGGCAGAAGTCAAAACAAACCACAATCCCGTAACCATAATATCCCGACCTATTGTATACCCACATTTATATCGCCTATTAATCATATGAAATCCAAAATACATTGTTATATTCTCATGAAATAAACAAATGTACGAAATATCCCTTTCACCATGCTTTTGGCCCTTTTGGGTTGCCTCAATCGAAATTAGTTTGTTGAAGTTGTCTGGATAACAAATTAAACCCATATCCCCAGTGATGGAGGTTTTGATTTGTAACCGCAACTCCATGGCCGCTTCAGCACATGTCGAACTGCTCAAATGCATCAAGCTCGAGCTCTAGCTTCTCACATTCTGCCAGACTTCACAGGAACCAGTTTTATCCACAATGGGGACTTTTCCCATACCATATAGACCTTTTGGTCCAACCAATCCTCGTCCGTTGCACTCTGCAAGTCAAAGTGCCAAAGCAATCTGGCCACAATAATCTTCATTTCCACATAGGCGAGATTGCGGCCAATACAATTGCGCGGACCATACGAAAACGGCTGAAAGGCATCCCGCTTATCATTGGCGAACCTCGGGTCCTCACCGCCAAGCCAGCGCTCGGGAAGAAACGACTCGGGCTCGGCCCAGTTCGCGGGGCTCATGCAGGCAGCATAGATGGGGATGCTCACGGCCGTGCCGGCGGGCAGGAACTCGCCATTAACAAGGGCGCCCCCGGCGGGCACAATGCGCTGATGGGGCTGCGGAGATGGAGGATATACGCGTAGGACTTCCTCGATGCAGGCGAGAAGGTACTTGCACTGGTTGACGCCGACAAAGGTGATTTCGTCGGAAGATGCAAATGCGTTGCGGATCTCGCGGGTCAGTTTTGTATACACGCGTGGGTTCTTCAAGAGCAAGTATGTAAGTCCTGATCCAAGGGTTAGCATGAATGAGTCGGCGTCTCCATCGGTGAATAGAATACACACCAGAGAGGGCTGTCGCGGTGGTCTCACTGCCGGCACCGATCAGAATGGAAGCGTTGCCAGTCAATTGTTCAAACGACATCTTTCCGTCCTTATAAGCGTCGATCAACTTGTCCATAAAATCTGGTACGGTTGATTCGTACTTGATTCGATGGCTCGTTTTTTCCTTGAAATAGACCGTGAGTTAGCCAACAGCAAGCCGAGGACCTCTGCATAGATAGACTATGCTCACCGTGTTTAGCTGGTTTAGAGTTGCAACATCAGACTTGACCGACGGAGGGATAGCCCACAGCTTGGCTGGCAGTTGTATAAGCCGAGGTAGACGTGATATGGCTTGGTTAAAGGCCATGAGCTTGGCTAAGCTGAAGAAGATCTCGATCCATTTGTGAATACGGCTACTTGTTAAGCAGTCAAAAGACTCGCCAAAGGCTGGATAAAATCAGCGGAAAATCCCGGTGAAGCAGGAGAAGAATCATACAGAGAAAGCCAATAAAGTCAAAAGTCATAAACTCTATGAGTGTTAGTTGATTGCCAAGTGCAAGCGGGTTGTAGACATACGTTGTACCAAGCAGAAATCTCGACGGGACGTCCGTCCTGGCAAGCTTCGTGGAGTTTCCGAAATAGAGTCGCAACGTATTCTTGCATGACGGCTTCCTGGTCCCTCAGAGCCCTCTCGGAGAATCCGTGTGCCAAAAGCTTACGAATATAGCCATGGTATTCACGATCAGCATTGAGAAGAACCGGTGGCCCTACCAGACCAGAGTGATACTTCTTGTCCTTTGTGAACTCTGGCTGACCCGAGGCTTTGTGTCCATAGATTTCCTTCCATTGCGCAGGCTGTATGTAGGATAGCTCATTGGGGGAAGTTCGAACAACAGGCCCATAACGATTGTGCAGTTGGAGGAGATCGTTTGGTGTAGTGCCTCGAATATAGGACGCAGCAGCCCACCAGGACGTGCCAGCAGGGATGCGTGGACCTGGATACTTGGAAAGAGGGTGGAAGTAGATGTTGTAAACAAACTGAACTAGGTAGTATAGTAAGAACTGTATGATCATCAGCAGGAGGGTTATAACGATGACTTTAGCTCAAGGTAGAGATACTTACGAGGACAGGCGCACCAATCACCAACAATGCGAGTGGTAAAAGCCCTTTGGGCAGCACTGTATCGGAAAGAGCCATCTCGTGGCTTCAGATTGCTGATCGAGTAGAGTTGAGATTAGCGGTAGACTGCTGGACTTGGGGCAGTTTTATAACACGCCGGATCCCGCTTATGAATAGTATTAAATGTATGAACGAATTCAGTCTCGCCGGGGGTATTTAAGCATGCCACTATGCATCGTGATGATACCTCAAACCCCTGCCAAGAGCTATACACTCTACGCTAGATATGGTGAATTCTCACCCGCATAACTTTATGCAAATTGCATACAATATCGCCAGTGATATGTACAACTAATCTCTGCTTTATTCCCATTCGATATTTTTCCGACTCTGTCTGCCGAGAATAATTAATAGGACGCAAATAACAATTTACCTTGCTCATAAATGCAGTGTAGACACTGTGATCGAGCAGAGTTTTGTACATAATCCAGAGAAACCATCCGCCCATGCAATGCTCCGGCAACTAGGAGTCCTTCAAATCTATTCACCATTTCGCTTATAAGGTCTGTGGTATTCCTCTTTTCAATCCCAGCAGGAGGGCAAGAAAGTTGTTGGCCCGACTGAAAGATAACATTGTACTTTTCAGTTGTGCAATACGGCGGGCATTTGCACTTCCGGTGCACTCCACATACTGTAGCTCCGGATTTAACGGAGACTCCAGCTGGGTATGATAAGAAGAATGTAATGGGCTTCAAGTCACTGGTTCACCGTGTCGATCACGGAAAGTTCAGATGATACAACAGTTGTTGCTTTGGGCGGGACTGGTGCATTGTAAAATGAGTCCTGATTTGTTTTCAGTCTTGTGCCATACCAGAAGCTGACCTCGTAACGCTTTCGTCGTTGTTTCTGGAGCAGCCATCTCACCTTGGCCCTCAAAATACACAAAGTCCATTTGCGCGTGAATTGACTCGCCCATTGCCAAACCGTGAATACGACTGAAATTAGGAGAAACTGGGTATACGTATTAAAAGGAACTACTGCATCTTGACGTAGTTGCTGGGGAATATGCCGTGCCTCGTACCAATCATTCCTGTCCACCAGTCTGTCTCGTTTTCCGTTCTCTTCAATATCGTGATGACTTCGCCCTTCTTGAATGTCAGATCGCCCGGCGTATCGCTCTCAAACGTGTACGAAGCAACCGCTTGGTTCTTCATCAGGCCCTGCTTGCTAGGAACGTTTGGCTTGGGGGCTGCAGGTCTACCGGGGGGAGCCCTGCCTGCGGCAGAGCCTCCAGACTGGTCCCATGTCGATGCGCGCTGGGGAGGTGCAAAGTTGTTTGCCGGTGGCGCTCCGCCGTACTGTTGCTGACCTCCTCCGTACCCCGGTTCAGTGTTGTAAATATCGTCTTGGCTCATACTTGCGCCTGCATTGCCTCCTACATTGCCTCCTAGGAATCTCGGATCGTTCAGAATGTGCATCAGAGGCGCAGCCTCTCCAGGCGGTTGGATGCTGCCGCTGAGAAGCTGCATGGCTGTCAGGCGCTGGCCGTATAGCTTCTCATTGGCATCCTTGCGCTCTATTATGGCGGAACCCTCGAGCGAGACTCCGGCAAACAATCCCTTGGTCTTGCTGTAACTGAAGATGCCAGCTACACTCTTGAGCGAGGCCGCGCCGGCAGCTTCGGCATTGCGACCGATGGGACCCGCTGCGATAGAAACATTTCCTCCCAATGTGATCGAACCGGCTTGCGCGAACGTCTTTACAGCGTTACGATCGTTGAGAATGAAGACGAAATCGGTAATCTCGAAACCAATTTGACCACCAAAACCTGCGCCTCCAGTCATGATGGCAGTAGGCGCTGACCAGCTGCCATTGTCGAGACGGGCCACTACCAGGCCAGAACCGAAACGAGCAGAACCCAGGAAGCCGGCTTTGATGACTGTGAGAATAGCAAGACCCTATCGACGAGTGCCTGTTGTTAGCGCCCATGCGGTTGCATTTTTGGTGGATTTTAGTCTTTATTTGAGCCGGCTTACCTTTGCATTGCGAAGAATCTCTGGTGGGATGACCTTGTCAGGCGATAGAGCTTGTCGGGGGTCGATGAAAGAGGTGAGAATCTTGCCGCACTTCTTACACTCCGCTGAATAATGGATCGCGATATCAGTATTTTGGTCACCGTCATGACTTTAGGTGTCTCTTTGCCGTGGCTGCTTGTGCGCGCAAATCGCTGGGTATCACGGCATCACGGCACAGCGGATGTATGGCGGGGGTTCTTGGGTCAGTTGAATGACTTACACGCCAGTGACGAGGGCAGAGGGTTGTTGAGGCCCATGATTGTGGAGGAATTCGAGTCGCGCAGTCTTCAGGTGCGATTTGCAGGCTGCGCTCACTCGAGAAGGATTATGAGAAACAGAGGGAGGAGGAAATCAGCTCTGGGTGCAAGCAGAGAAAGTCGGCTGATGCCTGAGTATTATTGTGCTTGCGTTATGTACCTACGGCCAGCAGCAGCTACGTACGGCACGCCGCGTAGCTAAGGTGGGGTGTATCGCGAGGTTTGGGGATCACAGCTGCGGGGCTGGGGACAAGGATGTACGACCGATTATCCGAAGAGTCGATTGTAAGTGAATAAGAGAGTACAAATTGGGAATGGATAAAGGACAGAGAGTAGGAGAGAATATTTGTGTATTGCTCTAGATACTAAGACGTCAGGATACGAAGGCGAATTACAAATGAGTAAAACTGGTGCAGTGACGGGTTTCGCTATCATAACGTTGTCATGGTTTAGGTTCATCATCAGTGAAAGGTCAAGGTACCCTGTAGGTACGTGGGAAGCTGAGGGAACCTACAGCTCGACCAGGTGGCGTAGTAAGATGATATGTCAACCCAATCCCATTACATCCCGAGCTCCATAGCGTCTTATGATGATTGCCTGTACCTACCTTAATGTACCTTAGGCATTGGCTTCCTTGGGCCTGTCAGGATCTCCCAGTCTTAGTCTTGCAAAGACAACTTCTGTAACCTTTCCTTGGCGCACCCTGAATCTGTTCAACCGTTGTCAATTGTGGCTAGAAATCACCCAGCCACAAAAACTGCGTCATTGAGAAGCCCAGCGCATTGAACCAGACTTAATCGCCCAGCCTGGGCCCCTTTGTTTCCAGTAAGGTGGTGAATGATTGATTGATTGATTGCACATGACCGCTCCAACAAGGCAATGAATGCGCCCGGGCCTAGAATCTCTAGCTACCTACAGAGAGACGACACTAACAATTGATTTCCTCTCACGCACCTCTCAACAGAACATCATTCGATCGCATTCGGCTCTTACCGGGACAAGACGAGACTCAGTCGAATATACACAATAGTCACCTTGTCGCCTCCCTCGCAGTCAAGTAGATCCAAGACCTCTCGCACAATTCGGCAGCACGGAAAGCCCGCCTAGCCCGCCAACCCGCGCTTGGTCGATACCTACATTCATTCCCCGGACCTTTGGGGCAGAACGGGGACAAACGCACTTGAAACCCGGCGCCAGCCAGACCAACGAAAAGAACACCGCCCACCTGGCCACGCAAAGATAGACTTGGCTTCAAACAGCTTCACAAGAACAAACTTGCATTTTCCCAGTCTTCACGCCAGCTTACAAGACCCCCACCAATAAATCATGTCGGAAGCCTACGAGCGCGAGCGCCAGAACAATGCACGCCTCGAAGAACTCTCGGCCAAGGTCTCGTCCCTGCGCGGCGTGACGGTCGACATTTACGACAATGCCCGATCCCAGGACATTATCGATAATACCGTACGTCCACTCCTGACTTGGCTTATCTCCTCCCCCTCTCTCCTCTCCCTCGCTCCGCTCAAGGCACCTGGGGGAGGATTGCGCAAAACTTGGCAGCAACATGTAGCTAATCCGCCCTCCTCATGTATAGACCGATACCTTCTCGTCCATGTCCACACAGCTCAAGGGGTCCGCCGGTCGGTTGGGACGCATGGCCGCTTCCGGAAACAAGGTCGCCATCTTTAAGCTGTCGGCCATAATCATTGGAGCCTTTATGGTACTCTACTATACCTACAAGCTCTTGTTCCGCGCTTGAAAGAATATCAGAGTAACAGATTGGATTATCGACTACAAAGTTGAGGCAACGACAGGGGAGACGACATGCCTATCAAAAAGGATACCCTTTCGGCGTGACCAGTCACACATTGGAAACAAATTGGTGTACATGGGTAGGATGCTTTTCATGGACTTCTTTTCAGAGCTACCGTATCGCATATACAGACAGAGCAATACCGAGCATGCGTGAGCTTTGCAATGGGCTGAGAACACCACAAGACGGAGATGAGGAATATGCATAGCATTGGCGTTTATGGGTAAGGTGCACAACATGATTTCTTTTCTAGGTACATGCCATTATAGTATATAGTTGGGTAACGTAGATCTTTTCATGGTCGTAACATTCCACGTCATGCGCCTCCTTATTTTGATGTGCGTCTTTTGAGTTGGTCTATCATGATTTTTTGGCCAGCCATATTCCATCCTCGACACATACAAATAACCAGTATCAGGTTTTATGCCTCGCAATTATGTCACTTACGCGCCCTACGCCCTTCTACTGCCAGACGTTTGAAAACAAATCATCGTTGCCAAATCCTGATCCCGGCTTGCTCGTAGTGGTAGTACTAGGATTGGTAGCCGTGCTGCTTGTCCAGCCTCCGAACTCCTCGTCGGCAGCAACCTTGGGCTGGGCCGGGGCCAAACTGAAGCTTGACTGAGTGTTAAATCCAGACTGGCCGGGAATAATGGGAGTGTTGGCCAGCGAGGATCCGCTGTTACCCCAGCCAAAATCACTACCTCCAAATGCGGAGGGCTTGCTGACTTCGGGGCTTTTCTGCGCAGGTGCTGCTGGAGCAGCTGGTTCGCCCCAGGCATTACCCCAGACATCCGAGTTGCCGAAAGCAGAGGTGTTCAGCGAGGCAGCCGGCGCGGGTGCTGGTTGAGCGGGCTTTGGTTGGGAGAGATTGAAGACTGAAGAATCAGCTGGCGCCGGGGCGAGTGGCTGTGGAGGAGGCGAGGCGACAGGTTGCGCGGCAGGGGCAGGGCTAGAAAGATCAAATAAATCACCAAAGGACGAGGAAGCTGGTTGTGCGGGCTTCGCAGGTGCTGCGGCGGGCGCACCCCAGCCACCGAAACTATCAGAGGGATTGTTCTGCTGAGCAGCCGGCTTTGCTGGCTTGGCATCAAAGAAGCTACCTCCGCTCAAGTTGGAAAAGGACGATGTAGCTTGGGGAGTGGACTTGGCACTGCCAAAGTTGGTCAATCCTGCGAAAGCGTCCTTGGGAGCGCTCTTTTGGACAGGGCTCGTTACATTTCCAAAGCTCAGTCCAGCAAAGGCGTCATTTAGTCCAGCACCGCTGCCTGATGGCTTGGATTGATGACCAAATGTGGGAGACTGCACAGGCGACTGCATGCCGCCGAATCCACTGAGCGAGCCAGAAGACTGATGTTGGTGTGTCGGCTGCGGGCGGGGTGCTGAGGCGTATAGAGACAGAATGGATTGCTTGAGATCTGGCCGCGACTGACCACTGGAGCCAGACGTTCCAGTCGTGCTAGCAGGTCGGGGTGGTGCAGCACTCGCATCACTCAGGAAATCCAAGCCAAACAACGAGTCCTTGGCAGCGGTCGTTTTCGGAGGCGCGGGAGCAGCCTTGGGCGGAACTTGCTGAGCTGCTGAGGGACCTGCCGTACTGGCTCTCGGTGGTAGATCATCCCCGCCAATCAGGTCCGCCTGAGGCGCTCTCTGAGGTGCGGCGGACTGGCCGACTGAAGCCTTTCGGATGGACTCTTTGCGCTCGATATTCTGCTTCTCCTTGACGATACTCAGAGGAATATCATCATCGCCATCAACATCCAGAGTGGCAGGATCAGGTCTCGGCCCGTCCATTACCCAGCGCTTCAATTCATATTTTGTCCTGATAAAGTTCTCAATCTTGGCTTCGGATGGCACGTGGCCAGGTGCCAGTTTGGATTCCCAGTACTTGTTTGCGCGCGCGTTTCCCCAGTTCAGAACGCTCTGAAGTTGCTCATCCGTCCATGAGTCCAGATCGACAGACTTGACTCGAGAAATGTGTGTGCCCATAGACCGATGGATTCCAGAGCAGCGGATGCAGACAAAGATGCCTAAGTTCCAACTCGCCCATCTGGGATCTGCATGTGCAGGGACGTCAGCAAATGTCCAACAATTGGATTATTGAAGAGTCATCGCATCAACTCACGCTTGTTCTTCTTGCAATCGGCGCATAGCTTGTTGGCTTCCAACTTTAGGAGACTCTTGAGCGTAACCTGGTTCTGGGCAGCACGCTCGGCAGCCGGGTTCGGAGGCCGTCGTGACATGATTGATGGACGATTGACAAGCTGCAGGATCTGGTGTGTCAGAGTTGATTGAACTGATATCGAACAGATTGAATGCTAGTTATTGTTGACGGTGCACAGGTGCGCAATTCATGCAGTGGTTTTGTGTGTGTGGTGTTGTCAGAAGCTCGAATTCCAACCTGTCAATGCCCAAAACTGTGGCTTGTTCAACTAGGTAGCAGTTAGCAGCTGCTGCCCCGAGCGACTGTATGAAGTCAGCAGCGTCAGGCCTAAGACAATGGGGGGTCCTTTCCCTTGCGATTAGTGGGGGTTCGGATGCCGCTAGATACATATTCCGAACCTTATCGCATACTCATGCAGCTCCCTGCCCCGCTAAAGGGGTTTGTCTTAAGCCTCTGTCATGTTATAGTATGTATAGTCTGGCTGTGTGCAACAGTAGGTACTTCGTATATACCGTCATTGTATAAGGTCACGTATGTTCATTACAATAAAACATCATCTGACACAAAATCTCATTGAAAATTATAAATACTATCTGTAAAACGCTTGATAGAGGAAACAACATTAGTTGGAAGAAGAATAAAAAGAACAAAGATTGGCTAAAGCCAACAACGAGCATTAGTCAAAAGCCATTACGAAGTATCAACTGAGAGATTTGGGGGATGATAAAATCTTGACAGTTGAGAGTTCAATCCTTCCGCAAACGTTCAGATAGATACAGCATTCTCTTTTCCATCTCTTCGCAGTCCGTCTTGCTGGGGATAGACCATTGCGACTCCGACTTTTTCACGAAGGCTCCGACTCACAGAACAACATAATCCCACATTTATGTGAATTGCCTTGTCAACCTCCTCATTCAAGCCATCCGAATCACAAAAAGCCAATATATAACACCACCCGTATATCAATCCCTGCTCCTACGTGCGAGCCACAACCCCCCAAGGCTTGCATACGCATCTCTTATACGCATTGTCATCGACGTGAACGGCGGAGCTCATGTAGTGGAGCATTCCTCTATTAAAGTTATACTGCTTCGATATGACAAGGGAGACCGGTGTGGCTGCACATTCTGGGTCGGTAGTTCAACGCGATTCTGTCTCGGCTGCTGCAAAGGGGGGGAAGAATATTAATGTGAAAAGGGGAGGCAGTGAAAAATTCTGCAACTTGGGCTGTGGCGATGAGTAGAGGAAAAAGTCGACCAGAAGTTGTTGAGTGTTGTAGTGGTGACAGTCTGAAGTGTTGATCATTATTGTGTCGTCGAGAAGGAAAAAGAATGCTTCGAAAGATCCAAGGCCGTGAATTCATACTTTGTCTGCCCACTATGGACGCCAATTGTTCCGTTGGCTGGTAGTAGCTATTCACGGAAAGAATGAAGAACAATCGAGGTCAAAAGAGGTGGAATGGGCTCCTGGTTGTGAGCGATTGTTGAATATATCCTTACCAGAGTGCTACATTCATTTTTGAATCATGAAAATACTTTCTTGGTAGTTTGAAGACTGTCGGACGATTGCTTTGACGACAGGCCCAACCTGAGAGTCCACAACGCCCAAATCGCGGCTTTCAAAACCAGGAGAATAAATATTGTGATACATTTGCAACGGCTCGGTTCTCATATACGCGTACACGCATTCAACGTCAAATGCAGACATCAGCCTCAAGAATGAATAGTAAGCACAAGCTAAGAGCCAGGACCAGCTGTGATAGAAATGAAGAGGGTATATTGACGAAGATTAAAAGACGTAAAGACGTCATCTCTAAGCAGGCGATGGCGACTGGTGTGATATCGAGGACGTCATGGATTGGATCATGCTGTGCAGAGAGTTAGCCACGGGCCCTTCTTTTCTGTTGAATTCTCCCAAAGCTACAACTTACCGCCTGTTCTTTTCCGACAGCTCAATGTCCATTCGCTGCAACTGCTGAATGGTAACACTAGCCTGTTCAAGCTGCGGTAGCAAATAATGTCAGTATACTTGTATATTCGAGGCTTCGTAGTATAAAGTAGAGTAGTAGAGTAAAGGGGTAGGAGCCTGAAATAGTGGACATGTATGTAGATGGTGCAAGCCAGCGGTTAGGGGTTTGTGCGCACCGAGGCTACAGCAACGGAATATGGATCATCATCCTCACCTTCCACACGGGGAGGTTCTGTCGAATTCTCAGTCGCGTCGTCGTCGCCAGAGGCATTGGCAAATCTACTAGAGGCCAAACCACCTCTCTTGGAAGGTGCTGCCGCTGCCACCGCCTGCTGCACATGCATTAGATGTATATCCTAGGTCTCGGTTCAGGTGTTACAGACAACTGACCTTGGCCTCCGCAATCTCTGCATCTTTGACCTTGAGTTGCGCATGTAGTTCATCAAATCTTGTCTGAATCTTCTCGGCATGCTGGATCTTGTCTTCAGCATGCTGAAGCTTCTCCTCGGCATCCTTCAGATTTTTCTCCAAGACCTCACGCTTCTTGTGCTCCTCCATAACCATGGCCGTCATGCTCTCGTACATGTCAGTATAATCGGCCTCATGCTTGCGCGCCTTGGCAGTGGTTTCATCCTTGTGAGCCTCGAATTCCTTGGCAGCGACCTCATTGTCTCGCTTGATGCTAGCAATCTCTGATTCAAGCTTTTGTAGGTTAGCTTGCCTGTCTTGCAGCTGGTTCTTCAGATCAGCCACTTCTTCGGCAGTCTCTGTAGCGCCTTCCCTGGCCACCTTGAGGTCCGCGCAATGCTTCTTGATCACAGCCTCATAGTCCAAAGCGGCATGCTTCTTGTCTTCCAGAAGTTGCTCCTTTTCGGCTCTCGTTGCTTCAATGTCAGCAAGATACTGCTTCTTAATCTCCTCGAGTTCCTTCTTCAGCGCATCGGCCACGGACGTGTCCTGCCTCTGGTTTTTGACAGCATCAATTTCTGCCTCAAGCTCCACGTTGTTCATCTTGGCTTCCGCAAGCTGCTGCCTAAGCGAATCGGATTCTTCTTGCAAGGTGACCAACTCTGCGTTGGCAGCTGTTGCTTGGGACAACCTGGTTTGCAAGTCCTGAGCTTCTGCCTGCGCCTTTGCTAGGGCCTCGTTGGCGGAAACAAGAGAAGCTTCGTATTGCGATGAAGTCGACTAGGTGTGTCAGTACTTTTGGTCATCAGAAGAAGTAACGGCGGGCTTACCTGATGCTTTGCCAAGTCTTCTGCACTGGCAGCTAGCTTGGTTTCGTGTTCACGGGTGATGTCTTCGATAGCTTGCACGTGCTTTGCCTCAAGGGCTTTAGCCGCCTCAGCCTGAGAACCGGATGCCTCGCGTCTCGCAGCGTCCAGAGCCTCAGCTTGCATATGAATAAGCTTCTCAACCTCTGCGGAATGAGCCTCGTCGTTGGCTTTCTTGAACTCCTCAAGTGCAGCCGAGTGTTCCTGGTTAGCAGTGACAATATCTTGCTGGGCTTTTTCCAGGGCCTCTTGTAGCACAGCCAATTGTTCAGCGTACGCGGCTTCGTCGGAGGATTTGCCCGTCAATTCCGTCTCGTGGCTAGCCTTGAGTTCTTGGATGCGAGATTCCGAATCTTGGGTAAGATTATTGATATGTTCGGCATGGGATGCTTTCAAACCGTCCAGCGCCTTTGTCAGCTCATCTTGGCTTTGTTCCTTCAAAATCTTGATAGCTTTGGCATGACTAGCTTTCAAGTCTGAGAGCTCAGCGACGAGGACGTCTTTGTCACTGGAGGCGCCACTCTTGGCCGTTTCCAAATCCATGGCAAAGCTAGCCTGCAGCGCATCAAGGGCCTTCTGATGTTCTTCCTCTTTGACTTTCAAGGCGTCGACGGCAGTGGTGTGACTATCCTTCAGCTCATCCAGCTCTTTCTGGAGAGCCTCTTTACCGGCCGATGCACCGCTATGGGCTTCGCTTAGCTCGCTGGCATGTTGAGCTTTCAGCTCGTCCAGTTCTTTCTGGAGTGCCTCCTTACTGGCCGATGCACCACTGTGGGCTTCGCTCAGCTCGCTGGCATGTTGAGCCTTCAGCTCGTCCAGCTCTTTCTGGAGAGCCTCTTTACCGGCCGATGCACCCCTTTGGGCTTCGCTCAGCTCGCTGGCATGTTGGGTCTTTAGCTCATCCAGCGCCTTGCTTAGAGCTTCTTCAAGCTCCAAAGCATGGCTAGCCTTGAGTTCATCAAATGTCTTCTGAAGCGCTTCCTTGTCAGTCGATGCACTGTTCTGGGCCTCCTCCAATTCCCGGGCATGCTCGGCCTTCAGATGCTCAGAAGCCTTGCTCTGAGCCTGTTCTAGCTCTTGGGCATGGCTGGCTTGAAGTTCCTCCAACGTCTTCTGCAACAGAGCTCTTTCCGCCGACGCACCAGACTGTGCCTGCTCGAGTTCAAGGGCGTGTAGGGCCTTCAATTCTTCCAACGACTTGCTCAGAGTCTGCTCCAGTTCAAGTGCATGGCTAGCTTTCAGGTCCTCCAGAGCTTGCTTGTGAGCGTCCTCATTGGCCGATGCGCCGTTTCGTGCTTCGTCCAACTCGACAGCATGTTTAGCTGCCAACTCCTCCAGCTCTTTCACGTGTGCTTCTTTATCAGCCGAGGAACCGCTCCGAGCTTGCTCCAGCAGAGAAGCGTGGGTAGATTGCAGATCATTCAGAGCCTTCTCATGATCCGCCGTGCTGCCCTCAATAGCAGAGGCATGTGCATCCTTGGCAGCTTGCAAAGCTTCTTCGTGGATAGCAATCGCTGACTCGTAGGTGCTGGTCAAGTCCTTGTGTTTGGACTCGAGCTCGTTGTGCTGAGTCTCAAGCTCGTGAAACTTTCGCTTAAAGTGTGCTTCGCCTTGGAGCTTCTCGATTTCCTCTTCGTAATCCTGAGAAATAGTCTTGAGCTGGTTCTCATGCCTCTCCACAGCAGCCTTGTGATCAACCTTGAACTTCTCAAACTCGTCGGTGAGCTGCTTGTGGGATTCTGAAGCGGCATCCAGCTTGCTCATATCCTCCTTCAATGATGTGAATTCGGTGCGGACTGAATCAAGCTCTGCCTTGGTGGTTTCAAGTAATTGAGTGGCTTCCTCCAATTTGGCCTTCAGCTCCTCAGCCTCAGCTTGAGAAGCAGCCAGTGCTGCCTTGTCTTGTTCAGCCGCAGCCTTGACTTCTGCGAGTTCCGTTTCGAGTGCAGTGATTCTTGAAGTCGTGGCAGCGCCCTCGCTCTCGGTAGCTGTGGTTAAAGCCTCAACCTTTGTCTGCAATTCCTCGTTCAAGGCCTTGAGATCCAGTAAAGATTTCTCCTGATCATCTTGAGAAGACTTGGTGGTGTCAAGTTCAGCACTGTGGGATGCTTTGAGAGCCTCAATAGCAGCTTGATGCTGGTCCTCGAGAGACTGCTTTAGTTCAGCAAGTTTTGCAGCATGTTCCTCGGTGGCCTTGGATAGAGCAGCTTCGTTGTCTTTATCGCTCGAGTCCTTCTCGGCTTGCAAAGTGTCAAGCTTGGCCTGTATCTCAGCCAGGGAGCTCTCCTCTCCTTCCCGAGAGGTACTAATATCTGAGAGCTTGGCCTTGTGTGCTTCGAGTTCATCCTCTGCAAGCTTGAGCTTATCCAAAGCCTCTGATATTTCAGCACCGAGAGCCTCCTTTTCCGAAGCATGTGTGGCTTTCAGACTTTCAAGCAGCTCTTCTTGGCCCTTTTGAAGCGCATCCTCAGCACCCTCAACACCCCCTACTTCTGCCTGTATCTTTTGCTCCAACTCCGTGACCTTGTCCTGAGATGAGGTGACTTGAGACTTGAGAGACTCAATCTCCGACTCCTTTTCAGCAAGCTGAGCCTTCAATTCCTCCACAGCCTTAGCGGACTCGGCAGCGGCGGCAGCTGTAGATGTAGAAGAGGTAGACAGCCGACTAGCATGTCCGGGAGCTCGCGAGGTAGTAGCGGTTGCTGGTCTCGCGGCGGCAGGTCTAGCGGTGGTCGAGGAAGTGGACAGGCGGCTCGAAGTGGTTCGACTGGCTGCAGTGGTGCTCGACGCCGCAGGTCTTGCAGTGGTGCTACTAGCTCGCGGGGATGCAGCAGTGCCAGTCGCAGACACAGGCTTCCGAGCAGCAGCAGTGGTGGATGCCGTAGTGGAAGTGGCAGGTCTTGTTGTTCTAGCCGTCGTCGAAGTACCGCTTCCAGGCACGACAGATTGCCGGCGAGCAGGGCCGCTGATAGAGGACGTGCTCTTCTCGCTCTCTGATATAGAAGGCCGAGATCTGTGGGTTGTCGTGGTTCCCGTGGTTCCTGCGGTTGCAGGCTTCTTGACTGTACCAGCAGGCGGGCGCGTCGGGGGCTGCTTGAGGCCGCTCGTAGGCTTGGTCGTCGCGCTTGTCGTGGTCTTTGCGGCAGTTGTGCCGGTAGTGGTGGGACGACGCGCGCCGGTTGTCGAAGAGACGCCTACTTTTGCCTTTGGCGAGGCAACACTGGGAGGTTTGGAGCCATTCGGGGCGCTCTTCTTGGGGGTTTCATGGGGTGAAGTGGTTGTACCGGTGCCCGTTGTCTCTTCTCCCGACAAGATGGACTCTTCTCGGTTGACGACTTCGAAGCTCTCGGATTCCGACATGTTGGGCTCTAGAAACTAGGAAGCAAGCTTCTCTGCCGAAAGAAAACGAGCGCGTATGCTGGAAGAGACTGTATTCCGAAGATACCTAAGGTAGGTAGAAAGGGAGATAGATATTCAGAAAGGGGTCTGCGGCAAATCAGTTTCCCTGGAAATTGCGCGCGTATTATTAGCTCAAGTAGTGTGTATATATATGGGAAGCTCTCGGGGGTGCTCCCAATCGCGCATTCAACAGTATTCGAAACAAGACACTGGAAGAAGGAAAGAAAAGGTGCCCAAGACAACCCAATGGGCACGCCTCTGTGTTTCTATGGTTCTGCCGATATCTCAGGCCTCTCAAACAGTACAGTTGGTGATGCGCGCCTACGACACGTCACATAAGGGAGGGTGGGCTGGTTGTCAAATGGGGGGAGATTGACCAGTCGAGCTCCTTGGCCTCTTTTTTTCTCTTTGGGTTTGGTGCCAATGAGCGCTTAACAGGCGATAGTGCAGCAAGGGTAGCTCGAGATGCGGACTGGTGCAGTGCAACTCTAGGAGAGACAGATAGATAGAGATGGTAATACGTTGGGTACATACCTCTTACTCTTGGGAAGTCCGAGAAGACTTTTGTTGACACCGATTTTATATAAACACCAAGCTTAAACTTTTGGCGACCACAAAGCCTAGCGGTACATGTGTTCAAGAATTGAAGTTGGTGTTGAAGGGTTTGGCATTGAGAGAAGTGCGCTCAGAGAAGGTCGCATCCATTTGCTGTCCCTCATCCACTCCACCTTTGGGGATGCTGGGGGGGGGACTGCACCAGGGCCTTGGGCAAACAAAAATGTTTCTATGGGGCCTATGGACAGGGTCTCTGGTGTCTTGGTCCCCGTCCCATGTGTCTGTCACATTGTCTGCTGCCTCTCTTTCGGCTTCCAATCCTTCCAATGGCGGGACATCTAGGGACATCAGATCAGGACCCTCCTCGTTAATCAGAAGGTCCCAGGGGTCCATCCACCCCTTGGCTAGCGGCCCCCCAATCACTGCATTAGCGGGAGAAGCCAATCATATTAGCTTCCTTCCTCATGCTATCGAAGCTTCATGCTAAGCTCGTCCTTGGACATTATGCAGCGCCGTTTTCACAAACGTGTCAAGTCTGGGATGTGCCTCTCGGCATCCTCGTAGATCAAACTCTATCATTCCATGCCAATAGCAGACAAAGAAAGGTATATTGTAGTAGATAATAATAGTTGATTAGTTATAGTATAGCTGTAAATATGTTATTCGAGACTTGAGCTCACTGGATATTCATGTCCACAGAAACTATCAAAATGCTAAACAGCGAAAGAAATATACAAAGTCTGATGAGAGAAATATGCACACCAACAAATCATACCACAGACTCATGGAAGCTTATTGAGATATCTGGAATGATTAAGGTGCTAAGGTAATAGGTTCGAGGTCAACCCTATAATAGGGCCACCGCCTCGTCCAGAAATTGGTACTCTAGAGACGCATACTATATCGTCCCATGCAAGACGTGTTGTGGTTTACACATAGGGGAAGTTCAAGCAATGCAAAGCTGATCGTTAGAATTCCTTCATACTCAAGATACCACACCACACACAACTGCATTCAAGAGCAGGTATATACTCATCCCGTCATATCGGTCATGATTTATTTCAAACTACTCCGCAATCTTTCTATCTCTTGATGCGGGACAATTGATGGTGCAAAAATGTACATTAGGGAGGGGTATTTCAAGGTGACGCTCAACGAAACAATTTGAACCATGCAAGATATCTAATCTAAGGTATCTAGATTGATATGTTCCTCCCATCCTCCACCCTTTTGTCTTCTACACAGGTCAACGCCAGTTGCTGATGAGGTCATCGGTCATGGCGTGGATTTGCAACTCTGACTTTTCTGGGGACGCCGTGAGGAACATCAATGGAAGCAACAGTGTCGCTCTTCGCTTGATTTCGTTTCCACTGTGGCCTATCATTACTACCATGGACGAAAGCTTGGGCAATCGAGGCGGGTTGTGGTCGAAAGCGTCTTTCAGATGTTTGATGAGTGACACCTCCTCTTCTTTTCTCCATTGTTCCAGCTCCACTGATTTGGCGGGCAGTCGACGACTTTTGCGAGCATCTGATTTTACTATAGCATTACTCGGCTGAGAGTAGCCGCCGCCGCCGACGCCGTCATTATCAGGATTCGCTGCCAGTCTTGGTCTACGAGGATTCGGAAGATTGCCGCGAAGGGCCAAAGCGGCTTTGCGATTGTGTTCACGGAGTGATTTCTTTTCCGCCTCTGCCTGAGCCTGGCGCCGCCGCTTGATCCTTTCTTGCATTTGTAACATGTATTGGCGGTCATTCTGCGTGTGCAGCAGTTTTTGCTCCTCTTGTCGCAGTCTATTAGGCGCATCGTTGAGTGTTTCTCGCAGAGTCGCCAAAATCGGCCCAAGGGCTTCCCGTGCTAAGTTCTCCGACTTCGATTCCGGTCTGAGTGGGCGATGCCTCAACTCACGCATTAGAGGACGATATAGCTTTTCCGTCCACCCGAGAAGTCGAGCAAGGATCGAGATGGTGAAATCGGTGAAGAATGATCCCTTGATCTTCTGCCCCAATGCCCATCCTCTCCCAAGGATTGCAATGAGCAAGGGGATGACGAGTCGTACGAGATCTTTTGCTATGCCCTGTTGTGCATCCACGTCGTTGTTCAGCTCGCTGGCCCCACGCTTAAAGGAAAGCCAGTGCGTTCTGATATTGTCTACGTCGCGATCAATCTTGGAAAAATAGCGCTTCATCATCTCACTGTGTTCTTTCAAAAAGTCGTTTTGTGCTGGCAAGTCTGCAGCAGAGGGCGCCTCCGAGAGAACTCGGCCAAGCTTTATAAGGTAGCTTGTCATGTGCTGTGCTGGTCTTGTCTCGGGGATTTGCTTTTCGGTCAACAGCTTTTCCCAGTTGTTGGATATGGCAGACCAGCCGAGACGCTGCATCAAATTTCTCGCTTGCGAGAAAGAATCCGACGGCAGTTGAATAGTGACGACGGAGTCACTCGAAGGCGCGTCGAAGAACGCAGAGTCATCAATATCTTCAACTTGGCCATCACGAAATCTTCGCACATCATGCCTTAATTGTGATGCATGACGGTTCGGATCGAATTCTTCTTCCTCATCAAGATCGGATATTGAGTCATCGCCTGCATCAATGTTCGGGTCTTCTGGTGTTACGAACAATTCCTCGTCATCTGCAATGTCGAGCTCATCATTAACCGGCACAACAGGAGATGGCTTTGTCCGAGTCTCTTTGGCAGGCTCAGCTCTGCTGAAAACATTGCGTTTCGGGCTGCTGGCAGCATTTATCTCATGAGCCTTTCCACTTTTTGACTGCTTTGGTTTCGGCCTCTTTTCGTCGGTATTGGATCTAACCACGGCATTCTCGTCTATGCGGCGGTCTTTCGAAACTAGCTGGAGTACGGGGAGATTGGTTCCCAAGCTCGATGCTGTATCCCGCTTTTGGCCTTGGCCTGAAGGTACTGAGTCCTGATCCTTGTCCTGAATGCTACCATTCTGAGGTGTGTTGTGTTTACTGCTCCGAGAAAGTCTATCTTGATCCAGCACCTTTGGCTTCCGAGAAGACACTTCAGGTTCTTGCAGGTCTGTAACCATACGGTCGATGTTGTCACGGGACTGGACTTCCGACGCATTTTGTGCTTGTGCACCATTCGGGCTCGCGGGGACAATAACACCAATCTCGTGTATCTCAGGAGAGAGTATCGGTCTAGATTTCCTCGCAGACTGGTGACTAATTGCTTCAGCCGAATCGCTTACTTGCAGTCCGTTGATAGTGTCGACAGGATCAGCCGCGGCCGCCCTTGTCACAACGCCGTTTGGAATCTGAGTAGGTGAATTCCTTTGGTCTTGAGTTGAAGGTTTCTTCCTTGCAGGCTCATGGCTGAGATCCGTATCTCCCAACTCCATCTCGTTAGAGATTGAAGCGAGTTCCTCTTGGTCATTGTGGCCTAGATCGATATCGGATACATCACGGTTGCTATCCTTTCGATTGTGGGCCCCTCCAAGGTCCTGGCTGTCGGCAACTGCTACTACTTCCTGAGATGACCCCAAGCTATTTACTAAATCTACCATTGCTGGATCGACGGCATCATCCTCGTGATTGTGTTGTACATTGTGTCCATCTCTGGACGATTGATCATCTCCAACGCGGGCCTGAGCAATTCGAGGTGATTCGGAGGAATTGTGGCTGCCGGCGTTTCGAGACTGAAGCGACCCTGGGCCCCGCAACAACTCTACAGCCCCAGCAAAACTGGAAGTCCTCCGGCGCTTGTGTGACTCGGCAGATTGGAGAAGTTCTGCAGCGGAGCGGCGTTTGCCTCCCCGGGACCTAATAGAAAGAGTAGGTGTCACGGAAAGAGGCGCTTTCCTTGGGGATCTCGCAGGTATGCCTTCTTCATTGTCTGAACCTGATGAGGCGTCATCCTCGTCAAGGCTTTCGATAGCACGTCGAGCATCAATGGTAGACCGCGGCATCCTCCTAGCCTTTGGTGAAATGAACCCAGAATAGCAATATCAACTGAGACTTTGGTCTTGATGGTTGCACAAAAAGGGCAATGAGGTTCATCACCACATAGGTGCAGGTCGCGACGGGAAGGCGTGAGCTTTGGCGAAGTTTCTCGTTTCAGTAAAATTCGCGGCCGTTTCAACGTTTTAATCTTCGAGTGCAGTGATTTTGATGATTTTCATAAGGTTGCCAAGTGAGTGCCGGTGCGTGGGTGAGCAAATACCGTAGGATAGTTTTTGACTTCACCAATTCTGAATCCCTTCATCGAGTAGGTACATTATGTAGGGTCTCAGTTCTCAGGGTTGTCAGCGGTACGCGACGCGCCTGCGGCCCACAAAAAGGTGCTTGCGGGACCTAAGATAGATCGGTACGTACATTACCCACCCCTGTTCCTGGCAAGTTGATTTTGTGCATTCTGTCATGGATGGTGGGGCATAAATAGGTAGGTAATGGAAAGATGCGACCGCGGGGTTGAGTTGAAGTCACCTCTCCACACTGATTGAAAGAGCCTCCTAGCTTTCCGTAGGGGTTCGAGACCTGAACAACGAAACTACTGGAACATTAAGCCCGGATACTGAGACCGACACAGATATCCCGCCAGACATTTACATACTTTCACCGTTGACTTGAAGCAGCTCCTTCACCATAGGTTTCTCGAGCTATCTCAAGCCAGACTTTGAGCATCTACCGTCTATCTGCCGGCCTCTCTACACTGGCAGCCTGTCCAACTCCCACTTGTCTGCTGCCAATGGAGCCCTCTCCAAATCCAACATTCAATGCCAAATCCCCATTTGTGACTCTTGAAGTCCTCGACCCCAGTACAATACATGCATTTGTCAGCCCCACGAAGGAGATCAACGATGGTCCAGATGTGTCCAGGTTTCTCGTGTCCAAAGCATATAGGGATATTGGCATATTCGTACTGCAGCTGAACCGGGCCATGTGCCCCAGGAAGTCCAAGGGCTCAGATGGGAAAGAGAAGGTACAAACCTTCGAAATCGGCTCGAAATTGGAAACACAACCGGCCAAGTCTGTGCAAAGCATTCAGCAGCTCTTATTCAAACTAGAGTCGTTTATTGACGAAGCGCCACCAGACAAGGGGCCGAGGAGGTTCGGAAATGTCAGCTTCCGAAAATGGTACAAGATTCTGGACGAGAGAGCGTCTAGCCTGCTGGAGGAGTGTCTACCTCAGTCTATCCTGAAGTTTGGCTCTTCTCCTGGTCAGAATGGCGTGACAGCTGAGGAGGAGCTGAAAGCATACCTCCTTGGCGCTTTTGGAAGCCCCCAACGGCTGGACTATGGTACTGGGCACGAACTCAGTTTCCTTGCGTTCCTCATTGGGCTCTGGAAGCTTGGTGCCTTCAAAGACGGTCAGCAAGATGGCGAGATCGAGCGCAATATTGTTCTCGGCGCCTTTGAACCATACCTTAGGGTTGTTCGGAAGCTCATCTTGACGTACACACTTGAGCCCGCCGGGTCACACGGAGTTTGGGGTCTCGACGATCACTCCTTTCAGCCATACATTTACGGTTCAGCGCAACTCACACGACCGATTGGTGACAATGAGGAGATGCCGATGGAGGGGTCGCGCTTCGGTGCTCCCAGGCTGGATGCAGTTTCCAAAGCTGACAAAGTGCAAGACTACCGGGAGACCAACATGTACTTTTCTGCCGTTGGGTTCATCTACGATGTGAAAACGGGGCCGTTTGGTGAGCATAGCTCTGTATTGCACTCCTTGTCCCAAGTCAAACTAGGATGGGGCAAGATCAACTCTGTAAGTTCTGCACATCTAATCCTGGCTGGATGAAAACTTGACTCTAATCTATATCAATAGGGAATGCTCAAAATGTTTAACGGCGAAGTTCTCTCAAAATTCCCCGTTGTACAACACCTTCCTTTTGGCTCTCTTCTCTCGTGGGAGCGAGACCCTGATGCCAAGGAACCCCAGCAGTCTGTACATATGGTAAATCAACCCATAGCTTCAGCTGCGCTCAAGTCCAACAACTCGGGCACAAGCGCTGGAACGGCGGCTCCGTGGGCAAAACCCGGGAATATGCCACCACCAATGCAAGCGCCATGGGCATCGGGTGTGCCAACAACAAGACCACCACCCACGCAGGCAACATCAGTGAATCCATCTATCCGAACGCCTTTTCCGGCAAGCCAGCCTCTTCCCAGGCCTACTGCACCAGCAGCCGGCTCAACAGATGCTCAAATTACAGTTACAAAGGCACCGTGGGCCAAAGACTAAGCAAATAGATTCAATAAACTCGCTAGAGATGACATGGCAATGATTTGTCGAGCAGTGATCTTGTGTTGATTTTATTGATACATAAATTAATCTGGGCAGGAAAATCATGCCCCATCGCAATATTTCTACGGTCGTTCTGTTCCAAGGAGATGAGGGAGATGGCCACGTCGTACACTTTCTTCCCACGCATATCATAACCTACAGCAAGGTGTCATGTACCAAATCGATATTATAATGTTTTCAAGATTCTGACTGTCTACTCGCGGCGTTTCTTCTGATGAGTCCAGATATCCCGGCTATTTCCCTATGATGTCCTCGAATACATATCTCCTCAACCCATCCATTTGCCGCTAGAATCCCGTGCCTGCTCTCGCTTGTCACTTGAAGAAAGACAAGGCCTTTGACACCTTGATACAGAAAGTGCAAACCTTTCCAGAATAGGCACCGTGCTTGCGGCAAACGCCTGCCATTTTGCTACGAGTTGATGGATTTGATTTAGTTTGTCACTTATGATTGAGAATTCTGGATTTGCGAGAGGTTAATCGCTAGGATTTCGAGTATCTTTGTATCTTTGTATGTTTTTTTTTTTTTTTGTCGGTTTGTTGTCTGTTTTGTTGTCCAAAGAAGATTGGGCTTGTAGGGGACTTCATGTCGTATTTATAGGAAATTTTCCGTGGTAATTCACCGCCAGACGCACCGCTAGAGACATTGGTGATTGAGCACTAGAATGAGATGCCTTGATGTTTACCAGATATAAAGGCCGTGAATCGAAATCATTCATTATCGTGGCATCACTCAAGGCAGGAGGAATATGGATAGTTTAAGCAGCAAACCAGTAAAGTGGTGCCCCTGACGGAATAGCACAAGGACAAAGCAATTGGCTTTATTTGGGGTCCATCAGGAGAATGATGGTGTTGTCCACTAATGTTGCCATCATTCATGCGCTGCACATGAATTCATGTGAGTGAATCCTTGAACGCTAGTAGTCTTCGTAATCATCAGAGCCACAATCACCATCGTCTCCCCCACCATCATCATAATCCTCGTCATCATAATCCTCCTCCTCCTCCTCATCATCATCATCATCGTCGTCGTCACAATATTCATCAACATCATCATCATCATCGCCACCACCATCGCCATCATTTTCGACGCCGCGCTCACGGCCTGATGCCTCTGCTCGGGCTTGATCCATATCTCCCTGGCGAACACCTTCAACGATGCGTTTGGCCTCTTGCCAGTCTTCGTCCTTGGTAGGATCAAGATTGTAGTGGAACATCATGTGGTACATGGACTTCCAGCCGCCTTGCTTGGTGATTTGGTAGTTGGATCGGGAGTCTATGAAGCCATTCTTGGCCGAGGGACTCTCGCCCCTGGAGTTGCCAAGAGCTGAGCCGGTCTTATTGTTGGAGCTGGACATTGTGGATATGTGGACAGATATGAGTCTCGACTAGGCTCTGAAGATCAGGCTGTTGTATTTCTGAGTGAAGGCTTGGTCGGGATTTTCTTAGAAGTCTTTATAGAGTCAGGAAATTTTGGGGAGATGTGTTTCCGGGGAAAACGTCGTTTTGTTGTTTGTATGAACCGAAGCCGATGAGTACGTTGGAGAAGAAAAAAAATAGAAACGAGTTCTAGCATCAAATTGAGGAAGATATACGAGTAAAGCAGATGGACGCCTTAGATATTTGAGGTAAGTTGTCCCTAAGGCGTTTGCCTTGCTTCTGAGGAATGCTAAGACTGTGCAAACGACGACGTATTCTAGCTGTCTTCTGTTGGTAAAAGGACTGCACTGTACTCAGCCAATAGAATTGAATACAGGCACCTTGTTCTTGTGTAACGAGTGCGGATCTTCTTGGACGTCTAGTTGGCTGATATTTACTTTATGTTCTTGTAGGGAGTCCTAGCAAACGGAAGACTATACCCAAGGTAGTCCACCGTTTGCCCATGTTTCTCCTTGGCGAGACTGAGGGATCAACAGAGAAGCAACTTTCAAGTACATGTCAATGGAATCTACTGGCTTCGGTCTGTATGCAAGTCGGAAGTTTTATTGGTTAACAAATCAAAGATAGGTACGCAGGAGGATTGGTACCGGTAGTAAAGACTTTCGATTTGTGTGGTCATTTGAGCTTGTCATTGATTTTCCGGCAAGGCACAGACGTGTATATTGATTCGCTGCATAGGCCTTGTGCAACACCTTCACATATTTAACCTTGGATGTTCTGGATAGCAAGGCATGCCTGGCACCCTTGGCGCCGTGCCTCGGACTGAAGAAGAAACACGGGGATATGAGGACATCGGCAGAAACTTTTCCCGTCTCAATCGTCTTTGAAAAGTTGATTACATTGAAGAATCAGAATACTCATACTGTCGAGGAGGAAACAAGGCATTGAATGACTTCTTAAAACCTTTCTGGCCTATGGGTTGAAAACCTATAGTGCTAGAAGTCCCTCGTCAGTCGAACTTGGATGTAGATTCATGATAACACTAGATGATTGACCAAGAAACCCCGTGTAATTTATGTCCAGAAAGAGATGGGGACGATACAAGTAGAAAACAGCATTTCACAAGTGTCTATTTGCAAGTAAAGACTCAAGTCAGATTCTACGCTTAGGCTCTCTTAGGCTGAGAAGTGAGGCAGAGAGTCAATGGGTGGATTCAGCGACGTGCCGAGTTTGCCGGCCGCCCCTGACAACAATTCACCACCCTCAATTTTTTTTTTTTTTTTTTTTGTAAGCTTTGATGAGTAGTCATAAATAGCTGGTTGCTTTTGATTAGGAGATGTCTCAACGAGTAATTTCTCTGGTAACTTTTGTGCTCTGCATCTTGGGACACAGCCGGACTGTGTTGGGTTGTCGCTTTGTGGTAGTCCTGAGCTCTGCGCACGCCAAACGACCAAGCTGAGCAGCAGTACCAATCTCCTGAACCGTGATTCTTACTTCCTGTGACCGCACAATTAAGATTGTGACGTCACAACTATTAGGTAGTGAGCTTACATGAAATACTTACTAGGTACATCAAGGTAGGTAGGCACATAGGGTCCGAGTCAACTGCTGCCCGAGCGGTCTGGTACCTTGCATATTCTCGCCCAATCTCGAACCTGCACTTTCCTACTTCTTCACCTTCCTCCCCAACCCACCCCCCATTTTTCAACTATACACCAGCGGTCGCATTTCTGCCGACAAACAACAGCTAAAGACAACGTCGATTTTCCAAGTTCGACATTGCGCGTTTCGAATAATTCTTTCACAGCAATGTGTTATTTTCAATTCTTTGGCTGCTTGTCGGCGCACAACTCTTTGTGCTATCCTGCCACTGCTTGTCCGGCTTGAGCACATGGGGCTTCAGACATGACACGACTTTGCGCCGACATATTCAATGCCTTAGGAGTCATCCCATCATTAAATCTAAGGACTTTGTTGGGAAGATGGACTTGGACTTGCGCCATGGCTCCACCACAACTATCTAGTCATTGCTTCGTCGCAATCCCCTTGGACACGGAGAGCAGTCGGTTTGGACTAGGAGGCGTCGCAATCTACCTTCGCCGATTACAGTCTTCTCTCTGGGGCACTATGGTTCATCACCTGGGGAGCCCCCCAAGCTTCCAATGAGCTGGGAGCACACCCAAAGGAAGTACTGTGTTTTGCTGGCAGTGGGAGGTCACTCATTCTGGCAAGTAAGAGAGCACATCATCGCAATGTCGCAAGGCGCACTCGAGTAATACACCGGCCGACTCAGTAGTGGGCATGAACGCAGAGCCCAGGGCATCAAACATCTCACTTTATTGTGGGACGAGCTGGCTATCTATGTCTCGGGTCATTGCATCACTCAATGGGGACCGGCACAGCTCCTCTAAAGGTCTTCTGCCTGGATTTCGGCGCTTTGACAGATGATACCAAGACAAAGTGGGAACCACAATATTCAAAACAAGAGGTGGTTAAAGAGAGCAAAAGTCTCTTGACATTGGGTATCTCAAAAGCATAAACTATCTTGGGAATTCTCGCCAAGCCTCAACTCAATCCATGGAAGCCGCTGGTCTCAACGCGTGTCGGTTATCGTCAGCAAAACCGAATCGGTCTGCATTACAGCGTCGGTTTCTCAAAATTGAGGGAATTTGCAAGATCTAAGCAGCGGGAGCAGGGGTGGGAGCAGCAGCCTTCTCCTCGGCCTTCTCCTCAGCCTTGGGAGCCTCAGTCTCGGCGGGAGCAGCTGCAGCAGCGGGAGCAGCAGCGGGAGCAGCAGGCTCGGCGGCAGGTTCGGCGGCAGGAGCGGTAGGGGCAGCCGGAGCAGCAGCTGAACAAAAATCAGTTAATGCAAAAAACAAATCAGTCTGGAATGAAACGTACGCTCTGCAGCCTTGGTCTCAGTGGCAGCAGCAGGAGCGGCGGGAGTGGCAGGAGCAGCAGGCTCAGCGGCAGGGGCGGCTGGACGTCACGTTAGCACGTTTTCCTTTGCCTCGGTTGGCAGTATAATCTTACGAGCAGCAGGAGTCTCTTCCTTGGGTGCCTCCGCCTTGGGTGCTTCGGTAGCAGCAGGAGTAGCGTCGGCTTTAGGGGCTTCGGCCGCGGGAGCAGCAGCGGCCTCCGCTGCGGGTGCAGCAGCAGCAGCAGCTGTCGTCGTGTCTGCCGGCTTGGTCTCAGTGGGCTTTTGCTCGGCGGGCTTCTGCTCAGCAGGCTTATCGGCAGTCTTTGCCGGCTTTTCCTTCTTTGAGAAGGCGGCCTTCAGCTTGGCCTTGAGGTTGGTGAGAGCGTCCAATGCTGTGGGGACAGAACCGATTAGCTTTCTCGGCAAGTAATTGAGGAGTTGAAGCATGGAACGGTGTAGAAATTCATGGCAGGCGCCCACGAGACACACGAGACACAAGCGTGTTATCGCGTAGAACCGCGAAGGTGCCCAGTGGTGAGAAAAACGACTCTGCACTTACGAACTCCAGGCATCGTGTCGGTGACGGTGTTATGGGGTGGATTATGAGAGATGCTTGTCACGACTCGAAACGAACAAAGTTTGTCTACGCTACAAGATTGAGATGCAGGAGAAAGAATTTGAGATAGGGTTGAGGTTATCGGAGTGAGGTTGTCGAACCTTGAAATAATCTCAAGCTCAACGCCCTGGGGGGGTCATGGGTTGGAAATTGGACGAAACGACAAATGATAGTCGGCACTAACGACCGCTGTGGCACGGACCAACCAAACCCACCCCCGTCAGGGCCTGCAGGCACGCAGGACAGATTTCCCTGCTACTATTTGGCGTTGAAACGTTCAGTGATTGGCTATCTATCCAAGTTTTGCAAGCAATGGCGATAACATCGAGCCTGTGCAAGTGTCTACCTATACACAGTAGACAAAATTTGCTTCCCATTAGCCATGAGAACAGCTTTGGCTATTGCCAAACCTTAGTGGAAGAGGAAGCATAAACTCCCAGGCAGTCTGGCTGTTGGAGGTGCATACGGAAATGATCAGCTCCAGATGAATTGCAAGTGAGGTGGCCGGATACCAACTGCCCCTGTCGTGTCCTGATTTCGGCAGCTCCCTGCGATACCATTTCAGGATTCCACAAATAGGGACTCTATCGAGGGACACACACACGCTATGGAGATGACAGCACGGTTGGCATTATTGCTAGCGCCGATCCATGATGAAAGCTAGCCAGCGCAAAACCCCAGTTTCTATCATTTACACTTTGAGTTGGACGTTGGTTTAGTTTGATGTTGATGGTGGCTGGTTTGTGGGGACGGAACTGAAGCCGTCATACGCTCATCAAACATGTCCGAAGTCAAACTTCCCTATCTCGTCGCGTTGATATGCGGCTGAAGTACCCCTATTGGAACAAACTAATCTCGCGTTTTGCGCCATCAAGCGCCCAGGAAAAGGCCCGCGGTTCCAAGCGCGAAGCCGAAGTGATTGAAGAATGCCTTCTTCTTTGCCTTCTCAGTTTTGTTTGCATACCAGACTGGACGAGAATATTCATAGAGCTTTTACACTGAGAAAGACGAGCCTTTCTTTCCGACTCGCACTCTCTAGAAAGCCATGGAAGACTGCAAGGTGGGTAGCGGGCATCCAAAGAGCTCCGACCGCTGACTTGCACGTCACCATTGAGCAATATGCTATTTTGTATGAAGGCGATATCCGTGCCAGGATACAGGGTCGTCCTGTGTAGCGGTTCTTACGTGTGAATCACCTATGGATCAGAGGCGGTAATTGGAGCGTTCAACCTCTGCTATTTATACGATTCAGGCGCCGGGCACCGGTGGAGCGATGACTCGAATGATCGGTGGATTGTCACCGACAGCTAGGCTCTTTGGCAGTATTCCGTAATAGTCGACCGCCAGCCGCCGCCGCCCAATTGGCGTCACCTTCTAGGCCGCGTGCGCCATCCCCACCGAGGTCGGATGCCCGTGAGTTTTCCTTCGGTCAGCTGTACTCCGAAGCTGAGTGAGGACCGCTGTGGATTGCCGATACTAGGACAAGAAGTCCTGTTCTTTCGCCTTGCCAGCCAATCCTGCAGTCTGATTAACAAACAAGCCCAAGCATTGTCACCGTCACACTTTCTTTCCCTCCCCCCGGCGGGATTGACACTGCCTGGTCCGCTTCCCCATAAAACGCCGCGCCGGAATCCATAAGTTGCTCGTGAGGTAATACTTGCATACCTTGAAAGGCAGATTCTAGGGCATTCCCAAAACGTCTATTAATCAACGCAGCGAATTCTATCGGATTTCCCCAGACCTTGTCATCATCCTCTCAATCTTTCACATTCCTCCTCAGACTCAAATCCAATTGCCATCAAGACACAGAACATGGCTCCCATTGTTCATCTCGTGCGTCACGCACAGGGCTACCACAACTTGAACCATGAGAACGAGAAGCTACCCGATCCCGATCTGACAGAGCTCGGTCTGCAGCAGTGCCGCAACTTGAGAGATGCATTCGAGCACCATGATAAGATCACCCATCTCGTCGCATCACCTCTCAGACGCACCCTGTACACATGCCTATACTCCTTTGAGCCTGTCGTCAAGCGCGGCAAGGTGGTGATTGCCTTGCCTGATGCCCAGGAGTTGTCGCTTAATCCTTGCGACCATGGCTCAGATGTTGCCAAGATCAAGGCCGAGTTTGGCGACAAGGTTGACTTCTCGCAATGCTGGGAGGGATGGAATGACAAGTCTCCTTCGTCTCGCTACTACCCCGATCCTACCAAGTTGGACGCCCGAGCCAAGGACGCAAGACGCTACCTCAGAGACTTGGCCAAGCAGCACGGCGATGATGCCCAGATTGTCCTCGTGACACACGGCGGTTTTGTGCACTTTCTCACAGGTGACTGGGAGGGCATTCCCAAGGGTGGAGGTATGTTATTCCCAAAGTTGCACGGCATCAAGACTCTAATGCTAACGCGGATTTGCAGCAACTGGCTGGGCAAACACCGAGTGCCGTTCCTATGAGTTCAAGGACCCCAGCGGTGAGGATCCCGAGGCTAAGCTACAAGAGACAAACTCGAGCTGGCGTCGCCGTCGTGGCAGTGCCGTAGGCCTAACCGAGACGGAGCACCGCCAGCTTCGACAGGTTGTTCAGGACATGGTGGAGGAAGAGAACCGCGTCGATCTCGAAGCCCGCGAGAAGGCAGCCAACGGAAAGGCCAACTAAGCATCGACTTGACAGAACGAGTCACAACACACGCCGCTATGCAATACTTTTTTCTGATTTAAAGCCCAGGAAGTGGCTCGCGGAAACCCACATACTAGATTTGGGAACGAGTGACGATAGATGGAAAAGGAGACTATACCCCATAGATGGTATAGAAGGCATCTTGTATTTGACTACAGTCACAGAAAAACGACAGAACTAAGAAAACTGAAAAAATAATTCAACCAAAAAAAACTATTGTTGTTGTGCATCAATCTCTTGGTGGTATTGCCTCTTGTATGCAGGACAAACAATTCTGGGTGGAACGAGAATTCTAGTTCTGCTTTCCTTGCCTATGCCCAGTGTGCCTTGACTTGAGGGGATCGATGACGTTGCAGGGATTCTTCGGTCCTCCTCTTTAGCGTAACTGAACCACATTTCTCACTGGTCTTTTAGCGCTCTAGGCGATTCTTACCTTGCTTGGCTCAATATCCAGTGCATGCCGACCTTTGGTGATTAAAGCATCCGACAGCATCAACCGCTTCGATCAATTCAATTGGTTCTCAAAAGTAATCTTGCGATCTTGTATCTCTTTTCTTTTCGGAGTTCGTCGCATGGGATCCAAATCGTCCGATTATTGGTAGAAGGAGGTAGTGCTCTGGCTCGCCGTTCACTGTGGACTACTGGAGCGTCATGTCGTCGCACACATTTGAGCAATTCATCCGCTTTACCACGGACTCAGGTAAGACGCTTTCTACTCTTTTCCCTGGCACATGAACCCAGAGAGATATTGTAATGAGTACACAAGAGTATAAGTCTGCTATGTATAGTCACCCTGATGTTGTTCAACGACGTTCTTGATGGTGCATAACGAAGCCGCAGCGGGCCGGTTCTAGCTGTATGGGCAAGGCATACCGACCAGCAACAGGTACATACCACGAAATATTCTTAGAATATAGGTATAACTGGTGTCAGTGGTATCAGTATGGAAAGACCAGAACCCATTAGACCGGAGGCTGCAACGCAGATTGGCCCGAAATCACATATCTGGCAATGCATCCACAGCTGCGCTCATTGAGCTCTCAGTCGATAGATGTTTCTTGCCACTAGATCTTCGAACTATGTGCTGACTTTTGCGCAGTCGGCCTAGAAAGAATATTTCGATTGCTCCAGTCGATAGCACAGATACTGTCATCATATCCGGTTCTGCTTGGTCTCTTTATAAGCCTGCTGGAGTTCAGTGTTACTGCACCGCCGTCCTATGCAGAGATCCATGTCGTCCTTCTCATCTTGCGTCAGCGTCTAGGTCTGGCCAGACGCTTTTTCCGCGTGTTCCGGTTCTTGGACTCGTTTCACGCGGCGCAGAAATTGTACACCAGCATAGCGGCAGCCGAGCCGACTAGCGGCACATCGTCATGGTCATCCAAGACAAAAAAGAAGCGACCTTTTTGGGTCCATCTCGAAGCCTACCTCGACGTCTTTGGCCGCACATTCAACGGCATGTACCTCTTGCTCGAGAGCAGCACCCTCGTCGACGCGCTGCAGATTGACGGGCTGCGGGCGTGGACGCCGGCGTGGGAGCGCACCGTCACCGTCGAGGCGCAGCGCTTCTGGCTGTTTTCCCTCGTCTGCAGCGTGCTGTCGGGGCTGCTCAAGGCGCTCAAGGTGCTCGCGTACACGCCGGTGCCTCCCGTGGGCGATGTCACGCAGAGCGAAAAGGTTTCTGGGGCGGATGGTGCCCAGAGGAAGGAGGACAAGGAGCAGCAGCAGCAAACGAGTGGGCCGGCTGCGGTTGACTTTGACCCCGATGAGGAGTTTGACGTGAGAAAGGAACAAGAGCGGCTAAAGGGCCTCGTCAAGCAGACTAGGAAGAGAAGGGTGTTGTGGAGGAGGGAAGTGAGGGCAAAACTCCGGGGTTTAGGCCGGGCCATCGCAGCCAATGCCCTCGATATTGTACTGCCTGGAGTCATTGTCGGTTGGATCGACGCTGACCCCGGGACAGTTGGAGTCGTCATGTTTATCACGACCGTGCTGACGGGGTTGGACGTATGGGACAGATGTGGCCGCGAGGTTGGCCAACACGAATGATGCGATTGATCTCATCAGAATTGCGAATGTCATCAGAATTTCCATTCGCAATTCTGATGAATACTTGGCAAATGTTATGCTTGTTTTGCTATGAACAAGAAAAATACATAGACTATAGAAACTCAAGACGAGATAGAGTACTAAATGAAAGAACCACGGACGAAATGAACCAGAAAAGTCTCAACCCTCTTCTGATGCCGGAACCAGCACACCGTTATCTGTCTAAAGGAGTGTATGACTGAGTACATAATACTATAAATCCCATGGTGTGATCAAGGATGAGACAAAGCATGGCGAGTAACACTAGCATGATGCTATAGGTAGATGAACTTGGCTGATGATGATCTCGGAGTAGATAAAACCTCGAATGAGGCATGATTTCCTCAAACTCCACGTGGCACATCATCGTCTGGCAATTGGAGACCAGATTTTTCGTCCTCCTCCAAACTCAGTTTCAGAGAGACCGTGCTACCAGTACGGGCACTGATGATTCGTACAAGGAGAAGGATAAACATGAAGGCTCTGGCAGAGAACAGAAAAAGTTAGCTTGTCTTCCCACGTTGAGGCGGACAGTTTGCTCGCGGCGCAATGAAAACTTACACGACTATAAAGTGCAGAATGGCCACGCTTTCGATGCTGTCGGACATTTCATACTTTGCCCAGTACCTTCCATTCGTTACACTGATGACGGAAAAGGTGAGCAAGAAGACGACCAGGTTGAGGTCGACGACAAAAGATGCGACCCGCGCAAAGGTGCGGCTCCGGTCCGCGGGCATCGAGTGCTGCTCGGGGATGAACATGTAGCTGTGTTGCGGGGGACCGCCCATGAGGTAGTAGGTCTTGTCACCAAGCGTGATGCCAAGGCTGGGGAGACGGTTGTTCTGTTTTCCGTTGTAGGTCTCAACTATCAACGCCACGAGACTGCCAAACAGGATGAAAAAGTCCCAGACGACGAGGAAGACCTCGACGCCCATTCTTGGCTCCGAGATCAACTGGATGAGAATATTGGCAAAGGTGAAAATGACAACGAGATGTCTCAATACGGCGATCAAGGGGAACGCCAGTTGACGGGTTCGTCCATGTTCAGAATATTCGAATCGCGGTGGAGAGATGGAGGCAGTCTTTGCATCTACTCGATCGCCATTGGGATTGAGAGGACGGGCCTCGTCGATGGACGAATCTCGAGAGTCCATGACTTGGTCCTTGATAAGTTAAGTGCTTGATAAACGAATGGGCGCTCTTGGAACTGCTGAACGATCTGAATAAGAAACAAATAATGTTGAGATATCACAACACATAAACATATATATATGCAGTAAATAATCACGTTCAGTCGAGGTAAACTGGCATTTCTATAATCACCTCCCAAAGAGGGGTTTTGCCGCAACCACCCAATTGTACACAGCCTCAAGGGTGAGCGGCACAGAAATGTCGGTGCCTAGTATTTGGGACCGCGTCCAATGTCAGGAAGGTGTTGGGCAAGCGGAGTGTGATCTGATACCTCAGGAATAGGCGAAGGATTCTGCAGTGCCATGAAGCGGGTCTTCAACACTGCCAACGCATGCTGGCGGCAAGTCTGAGCCAACGCAAGACACTGATATGAGTCTTTATGATGTGAGCAATCAGAAATACAGAATGCTGATCATTGTCCATATTAGTTATGCGATGATTTCGGAGAGCATAGTGTCAATGCAAGTTCAAGAGCTGGGGATTTACGATATGACCTAGGGCACTAGTAGCTGATATGCAACGAACTTAGAAATGGCCAACTACAGGCTTTCTCTCTGACTGTATGATTTTGTATTACAGTATTAAAATAGACTGATTTCTCACTGATCTTCATGGTTCACTGCTTTTATTCTTGGGAATGCATGTCACCCACTTGTCGTTATTGTTGACGATGCCCGAAAGCCAAGCGAGTGTTGAAACTGGTTGCCTGGCGTTGACAGCAGCGTTACAGCAGGGTATGGTATGCCGCTATACGTACTACCAAGACGAGCGTACATAAATGTACATGTGCATCGTGCACAAGGTTAGCACAATTCTGTGTCTGTACGGAACAGCGCCGCGTGAATCAAGCTAAGGTTTAGAGGGGGGTTTAGTGGGGGGGTCAATTGGGGACCCCTGCCGCCTGCGTCCCAATTCTCGAGCTTAACCTGTTCACGCAAGCGGTGAAAGCGATAACGGGCAAAAAAAGTTATGGGCTGTCGCAATCCACAATTTTTTTCCCAGGCTTGAGACGGCGCAACTGATGATCGCGTTTCTTGCTTCCATCTTGCGACTGAGGATTATTTAGTTCAATCCGGTTTGTCAAGGAGTTTTCCTCTTCCATGCCTGCAAACTCCCAATCGACATCCGTCAATTCCACCTCTGGACCTCCAGCGTGGCTTTTCTCCAATAACAGTAACAGCACGAGCACGACCGCTGCCGCATCTGCTACAAACTCTTCTTCCAACATGGCCAAGACCAAGAAGGTTTCCAAGAAGGAGGCTCCGTCGGCAGCCTCTGCTGGCGCCCCTCCTGCCCAGCTGATGGATCTGGTCGAAGACTTCTTGTCTGGCTCAGGCTTTGCCGATGCCCACCGCGAGTTCAAGAAGCACCGAGCCGATAAGGGTTGGAAGTCAGAGGCCGACAAGAAGAAGAAGAAGGATCAGAAGAAGGGCCACCACTCGCTTGTCAGCGTCTTCCAGACATGGGAGACCTTCTCCAACAAGGATGCCACCCCCGCCGTCGCCAAGAAGGAGATTCTCGAGGTTACCAAGGTCAGCAGCAGCAGCGAGAGCGACTCGAGCAGCGATAGTGACAGCGACTCCGACTCTGACTCCGACTCGGGCAAAGATGTCGACATGGCCGATGCTCCTGCTGCCAATGATGATAGCGACTCCTCGTCTAGCTCGAGCTCGAGCTCCAGCTCTAGCGATAGCTCGGATAGCGACAGCGACAGCGACGATGAAGCTGCAAAGGCCCCTGCAAAGCCGGCTACAACCAACCGCCTGAAGCGCAAGGCCAAGTCTGACAGCGAGAGCTCTTCTTCCTCGTCCGAGTCAGACTCTGACTCCAGCTCAGACTCCGAGGACGAAAAGCCCAAGGTCAAGAAGGTCAAGACTGCCTCGAGCGACTCATCGTCTTCCTCATCCGACTCGTCTGATTCCTCTGACTCCTCCGACTCTGATTCTTCCGACGACGAGGCTGCCAAGGTCAAGACTGAAGCCGCTCAAGACAGCTCCGACTCATCTGATTCGTCCGATTCCGACTCGTCCTCTGACTCTGACTCCGACTCTGAATCGGAAGCCGAGGTCGCCGCCAAGGTCCCTCTGCCCGAGTCTGACAGCGACTCGTCCTCTAGCAGCGACTCGGACTCTGATGCCGAAGATGTGAAGAAGGAGGTCAAGAAGGAATCTGCTGCCAACGGCACGGGCTCTGATACCTCTGCCACACTGGGCAAGGCCTCTCCCGAGTTTGCCCCTCTGCCTCCGGACCCAACTACATTCAAGCACAACAACAGAGGAAAGAATGGCAACAAGCGACCACAGAACGAGCCCTTCTCGCGCATTAAGAAAGACGTCTATGTTCATAACGAGTTGTCATCCAACGCCTATATCCAGGACGGCTACGGTCAGAAGGCTCACGAGGACCTGATTGTCACTCGGGGCAAGGGCTTCACCAAGGAGAAGAACAAGAAGAAGCGTGGTGCCTACAGAGGTGGTCCGCTCGACATCAACAGAAGCCAAAGTTTCAAGTTCGATGACTAGAAGTCGCCGGACAAGACTCCTGTTGACAATACCCCAAAACGAGAGACGCCAAAGAAGACTAGGGAGAACACCGCCACTGGAAAGAACTCCAGGCCCAACTTGAGTTCATACGTGAACGCCGCCAAGGACATCTTGAACTCCTTTCGCCATAAGTCCTCTGCTTCCGATCAAGACAAGGCAAAGGTTCAAAAGACGACGACTACGCCCCAAACCCAAAAGGCTTCAGGCGGAAAGGGCCCAAAGTCTTGGAAACATGCTCGCCGTGGCTAGGTATTTCGACAATCACGTCGTGCAAAACCATGATTAATTGCCGCTACTTTTGTTTGAGATTTTGCCCTGGCGTTATTGGGATGGCTAGAGGAGAAATGGAATAGTCGATACCGGCTTATAGAGTTTTCATATAAGCGAATACACTTAGCGGAGGGTTGTACCTCGCCCAATTCAGTATAAATAGACGACCGCAGAAGAAACCACTGTAGACTTTGTACAGCGCTGTAGCACATAATCTTTTCAGCCGATATCCTATTTGTACATGTATCATTGTTGATATCTGATCTGGCCCTGAACATCCCGAATGGTTAATGAACTAGAATTCCTTTGCCGAGGTACAGCTGGTTTGGCGAAAGATTCTTGATTCAGAACGGCCAATCATGTCCTCGAGAGTCTGACGATCGACTTGGCAAGGTGCAATTCTGCTCTGGTGTTAGAGTGTCTTCGACAGCCATGAATATTATTAACACTCACCCCCGTGAGGTTCATGTCTCGCCGACATACTTACGTGTTCATTGTTGATTTTGAGAAATGGGGGTTTGTGCAAAATGTCCACTGGCAGCCCCAAAGAGAGTCAAGGCAATGGTGTGATAGTCCATAAGAAGAAACTCCTAGCCAAAGCCGCGGCTAACTACCACCTAACCCGCTGTTGATGGGGATGGCGGGCGGTATTGATCCCCCCCCCCCTGTGCCCCCTCCGAGTAATATGAATATACATTGTCACGGTTCTTTTAACCACTATGTCAACTGTTGGTAGAAGTGACTGTAGGTGGCTGATTTGACATGACTAAATACAAGCATCAACTCCGATATGCGTTGTCAATACTGAAATAAAGCCAATGCCATGTGCGAAAATAATCAAGAATGTAAAGAAACTTCAAGAAGTGAAGGAAAAAAAAATAACCAGCTTAGGGATTCGAGCCCATCTTCTTTAGGATCAACAGCTAGGATTGACCAACCCAACGTACCAGAAACTGATAGACTGTTGCCATTAAAGGCAGGAAGGGGTGCCAGCCGGACCACTATGCCATCTTGCCAGAAGATGGAAGCCAATTGTCTGATTATTGAACACTCTTTGAATTATCTACCTCTAAATACCTTGCAAACGGGCTCCCAGGACTTATTGCACATGTAACTTCAATAGCAGCCAGGTGGGCCATTTTGCAAACGGGCAACACAGCCGCGCAACAGCCGCGCAGACCTCATTGAGCAGCCTTCTGATGGGACGGCTGGAGGCTGGACTGAGTGCTTTGGGTTGCGTCTTCCCTTGTAGGTAGTAGTCATGGACCGATGAAGATTATTGTTTCATTTCACGACCCGACAGTACCTCCTATGAGAGACTTGTGCCCGTGTCGTACCAAGGAATCTGCAGCAACTCATGTTACATTGTGAGTTATTCCGATCAGGTAGCATGAGGGAATCGCGTCACGTGTCGTCCGCAATGGAAATTAGCACATGTGCAAAGGAGTCGTTATGCTCAATGGGCTCACGTTTTATTTCTCAATAATTGGCACTAGACACTTATTTCATTGCTCGCATAATCCTCCTCCCGAGATGTCAACATGGGTCGGCTCCTCAAAGAGTCCCCCTCCATTGTGGCTTGATTTTGAGATCATAATCCGATGGACCCAATCCTGACGGGGCGAAAAGCTATGGGGCCCTATTAAGTATTGAATGGAATATATTTTCATAATTATTGAAGAGACCATAGATAATTAAAAGAAAAAAGGAAAAAGGAAAAATAGATAAAATATTGATATTGAGAATTCTCCAGGTACTTTGGACAAGCAGGGCGGACGAGACGGTAAATGCTGATATGATTTTGCCACACAGAGCCGCAAGCCCGATACTTGTAACCACGACGTCATACTCTGGACCCTTTTTACAGTAAACGGGGGAAACGAAGAGAAGAACAAGACATATCCGCAGCTAGGCGGGGAAGATATGCCGGAAGGACTTTGGGCGCGATCATAAAAAAGAAGGGCTGCAGATTCTCCGGGGCTCTCAAACCAAAAGAAAATCGTGGATCTATACCAGACGACCGTAAGTTGCGCGTCGTCGACTTTCCCGAGGGGGCGTTGAATAAGGATTCTAAAATACCCACCCTTGTGCAGATCTTCATGCACACTCAGCTGGTCTTCGCTTAAGCTGATGAAGCCCTTCTTTTTCTTTTTTGTGACCAGGGTACTAGGGTCCTAGTGTAACCTCTTCTTTTGGGGGCGAGGTCGGCGGTCTGGCTTATTATTTGATTTCTTCGATATACAGACCTGCCAGCCCCGAAATGGCCTCTTCATCTTTGTGATATAGTGCTGGACACCTACATCGATCATTCCTGGAATGGATGATCCAATAGTATAAAAGGTTTTCATGGTGCCTTTTTTTTTTTTTTGGCCAACATAGAGGTTTTATATCACAAGATAGCTAACAAGCTCTATTCTAAGCAAATAAGCGGGGAAACGAGCTGAGGCTGAATTTCTACGCAATGAATATTAATATCAACTGCCAATCTGTGCCCGTGCCCGACTGAATTGCAATATCCATAGAGTATTGGATGATCGGTGGAGAAGTTATAAAGAGAAAAAAGAATCAAAGCTGCATCAGCGGATTTAGGCATTCGGTGGTCAGAGGACCAACTTTCAAGTCCGCAGCTGGAGGCCGAAGAGGCATGGTTGTATTATTCATCATTCAGCTTGATGATTAAGGAATGAGCATCAGCGGCACGCAGATTCTGTCCATATAGGGTAATTGTGTGCATGTAGGCGTATCTCGGCAGAGACAAGAAGCCAACATACTTATTCAAAGGATGGGGCGCTTTGGTTCATGGGAGGGGGTTCGGTTGGGACTTGATGGAATGGTCTAGGTCAACCCAGCCTGCGGTTCTCTTTTTTTTACAATATACAACCACTGGATTGGTTGATATACGGACGAGTCTTTTGAAACGGTTTGAAATCAATCGACGAATCAGAATATGCTCAATCGGACCCTTTGAACAGTCATGAATGGTCCTTGATGCAACAACTCCGGTACTTCGGTATGATTCCTCAGACGAGGGTGTGGGTTGGCTGAAGAGGGATATTGAGATAATAAGAAAGAAATGCTGCCGAAAACGCCGTTATGTGGACCTCGTGGTTCAGGATCTCAATCCTTCAGGCTGCGTGGTTGAGTTTGTTGTTGTTATTGATGTTGAGCTGGTTCTCTGCTGCGGAGAGGGTGATGCGTCATCGTCAAGCCACCGGAACGAGGAGGAAGAAGGATTTGGAGGGGTATTGACATGTCCACGGGTACACCAATGCATAGTCTTGTTGGAATGCAATGAGGAGGAGCCGCCGCCGCCGCCATGATTCCGTGGGCGTGTTGGCATTGGAGAGCGGAATAACTCTTACTTGCGTAGGTATGCACGCGCCATGGCCGGCCGCTCGAACAAGCAGGGCGACGACATGATGTGTTTTTTCTCTCAAGAAGATAAGTGAGTAGGCGATGGATAAGAAGAGAGTGGTGGGCTGACCCAAGCCTTTTCGAAGAATTTCGGGTTGCTTGAGGGTCTCGTAGGAACAGTAAGATTATAGTAGCACCCACACCCGAATCCGTACCCATGTTCATTTGTACAACCAAGGGAAAAACTGTCGGTGGCCTGTCAAAGCGATTCCTGGCCCCCACAAGAGACTAAAGCCTTCCTGGCAGTGACGGGCCTTGTTACTCCACCATTTCTTCTCTTGCACTCGATGCTAGCTCCGATCTGGGGGGTTGGGAACTACACAGTAACTGGGCTTTGGATTTCTCTGCGAATTTTCTAGAACTTTGAAATTGAAATGAATGATGGGGCAGCCCTCCATCATTACTAAGGTATTGTGTGTTTTCTCGATCTTTGGCTACAAGTGAACCCTTGGAATTAGGAACACGTCTGACTGACTGCTGACGATGGCGGGATTATAACCAATGTGCACCTCATATTTCTTTACTCTGCCCCGCACGGTTCGTCTTCTTCTCCAAATATGATGCTGTTTCTGAGATCAAGAGGTTTCTATGGAAACAAAATACTGGAAATGAACACTGTTTCAATCATTAATTGCCGAGAGAGTAGGCCAAGGGCTAGGTTATTAACGCCAGCAGGGTAAGCAAAAACATTGGTCTTCATGGGTGGCCATAGGAAAGACAAGAAGTGGTTGGTTTCTCCGTCTTGATCCCATTCTCTTTAGAGCAATATCCGATAACGTTGCCATATGTCTTGAACTTTGAACGACCATGACAGGTGTCAATATACTTGATTGACGCGGGGCCAAATCTCCGTTCAACAAACTTTGCAACTAGTAATAATAGCCTTTCTTCTTCTTCTTCTTTCATTCCTTGCTTCCTTAGAGCCTGCATGTCTGATTAGCACTTGTATATATCCGTAAGAAGTTCATCGGCGACTATGCATGCTCCCCTTTGCTTGACAAGTCCTCGATTGAAAGTTTCATTTAGCTACTACACGCGTGGCATATAGATAATTTATCGTTTCTTATTATGTCTTTTTTGTGCCTTTGTTTCCCAATCTATTTCAGATATCCAATGATTAAGCAGTGGTAAGCAGCAAACTTTACGTAGTCGAAAGGGACCCGGCAGTTGGGGTGCGCACTATGAGCTGACTGGGTTCTGGGGAAACAGCTGAAAATTATATACATTGGTCATGTTTGACCGTATAATCCCTAAGTATATTGATTACAAATGCCAAAGATTGAAATGCACCGCTGGGGCGCAGCTGGGTTACACTGGCTGAGGTCATGCAGCTGCACTGAAATCCAAGAAAATGTACATGCATGCATATGAGCAACACCTTCAACCGTCGAACCGGATGTGCATATGTAAAAACACTGCCAAACTGCCTTGTGGGAAAAGAGATTGGATATGCGAATTAGAGTTTACGCCTCTGAAGAGTACCGCTGCCCTCCCGTTTTTTTCCTTTTCATGATGACTTGCATCAAACGTGGCGCATCACCAGAGATCTTGTCTTGATTATTTTCTATTTTATTTTCCAAAGTTGACATCAGTCAGTGCAGACATTTCTTCAGTCGACTTTCACCCGACACGATTCCCGTCTCCTTGTGCTTGTGATATGTGCAGCATGGGCCGTTCTTGGCTGTCTTTTCGATTTCCAGTCACCCGGTGACCCGACCGGGACCGAGAATAGAAAATAACATTGGCGATTTCACCTGCGTCCTTACAAGAAGAAAAAAGAATAATAATAAATCTTTCCAAAAGAGTAATAATACGGCAACTAACAAGAAGTGTAAGAAAATAACAATGACATTTGGGGCGAGCACAGCCATGCAGTGACACACAATGACTATCCCTCTTTGGGACGCTCCGACAATCATCCCCATCCTCCATTACGCTCACCTCATTATGAGATCGTGTGCTCTCTTCTATTGCCTTTACTGCTTGGGAAAAGATCCTTAGCCCGTAAAAAAACGCCACAGCCGGAACGTGAATAGGATTGATATTCTAGAAACTCGTTGGATATGTCATGTCATGCATTCCTCCGGCGGCTTCAGCAGGGCAAGGGAACTTTGTTGGATTTGCGAAATAAAGTGGGGAAAAAAGGATCATGGAAGATCTGGGACTTGTCTTGCATAACCAAATGCGGGAAACAGACGAGCCGTTATTCTCACAGGGTATCACATCCTATAGTAATACAAGCGAATCGCTTTTGAACATGGGTCATCTAGATTGTGCATCTTTCCCTTATACATATCGGGATTGGATTCTGTGACAATCCCATCTAACAAGTCGCTGGTCGCCACCCTGAATCCATTGCTAATCAATTGTTTTTTTTTTTATGTCTTCTTTTGATGATCATATTCACGTGGTAAAGCGATATGATGCTTTGTTTTGGTTTTATGACACATTTCTCTCTCATTTTCCATCATTCACAATCCTAGATCCCCGACCTGCATAGCCACACACAATACATAAAAAAAAAGTTTACATGTTTTTGCGAGCTCCACTCATTACATACAGTATGCAAGTATGGCGGCCGAAGGATTACTGAGACTGCTGAAACACATCTTGGAAGGAGGCTCTGATCGCCCTACTTTGCCCAGCCAACCACCAATTGTCTGTCTACCTAAGTCACGTAGTGGAGCGCGCATCCCAACTGCCGATCCCCAAAGTCGAGTAAGTTGGCCATCGTGGCCATCGTCATATCTCAGGGGTTACTTTACCCGTGCGTGCTCATATTTTGGCGCAAAGCAGCAGTGCTGACATGAGAGTTTGAATGAGGGTGGAGGGGTCCTTCTATTTCCAGCTCGCTCACTAGGTTAGTCATTTTAGTAGGTAAGTAGGTAGGTTAGGTGGTTAGTACTACTGCTGATTGCTCTTCAATATGCCAAACATGTCACGAGCGAGCGCTATTGTGTTTCCAAAAAAGAAGCCGAGAAAGCGGATAGAACAGGGTGTTTGGCCCTTTGTGTTGAGTATTGGTTGGGTTCGATCGTGATGCAGCTGCATCATCGACCTAGATAAGGTAGCTATCTACCAATGCAACTTCATGCATCATGCTTTGCCCCGTAAACATCATGAGCCCAATTCCCATCCGTCCATCTGCCTGTATCCTATCCGAATGCATGGAGAGCATATCTAGCCTGTCTTGCAGGAGCTTCGATCCATGTGCCGTAATACGCCCTAATCTCCTGTTCCTCTTTGTAAATGCAAACCGTGTATAAACCCCCTGTATCCATTATAAACGCCTTTAGGTATCATGAAGAGAGCTGCTGGTGGGCACGCTCCTCTAAGAAATGAACCGCCTGTTATATCAAATTTTTCAAATCGGAAAACCCCAGAACTCCATGCTGTCGTGAAAATGCTGATGATTACCGCACTGAAACAGCGCCGCCGAACATTCGTCCCCACATTCCCCGTCCCGTTCTCGCGCGTTTGGCTTTGCTGCCGCCGTCCTGCATCTCTCGAAGCTCCTCGACGCTGATCTCGTACGGGAGAAGGTGGTCGCCCTTGCGATAGCTCCTGAGTGTGGCCGGCTGTGGCATGTCCAAAACAACCTCAACAGGCGACTCGTAAAGATCGCCGTCGCCATAGACATAAGGATCCTCCGGAACCGAGACTGGCGTGCTTGACCGTGAGTGCTGTTGCGAAGAGATTGAAGAAGCATATGAGCTGCTTGAGCTTGCTCCAGAGCTGTAGGCCAAACCGGGAGGTGTGTAAGCATCGTGGACCATCCGGACAGTTTCTTGCTCGGGAAGAGCAGGCTGTCTAGATCTTGAGCTGCCTCGGGAGCTCGGAGGGGTGGGGAACTGTGCGGCAGCTGCCCAGGCTTCGGCTTCTCTCTGCTGGCGGAGTGCCTCCTCCCTCTTGCGTTGCAGGCGGCGGGCGTACTTGGCATCGATCTCAGCACGGATAGGAGCCAAGAAGACATCCAGTTCCCGGTAAAGATCCTCCTCGGTGATTCTAAGCTCCCAGTTAAGCAGGAACAAGAGCTGCTTCTCCATCAAGTTGACCTCATTGCGAGTGAAACCAAATGAGCAGCCATCGGCGTTGACGTGGCTGTAGTTTGCCCAGTGTTTGTTCTTTGGCGAGCTGTCATTGAGGTACTTGGCTGCGAGGATGAGAGCAGCCAGGAAGATGCGGTGAGATGTGCATCGCAAACCCTTTGCCATGGGCTGAAGGTGCGACTTTAACCTGGTCAAGTAGACCAGTGTCGACATCAGGGTGGGTACCTGAACGTTAGAAGAAACGACAAGCTGAGTAATGAACTCCTCAAGCGTAGGCATGGCATTGTCCTCGACACGAATGGCTCTCGGCGAAGGTGTCCGAGGTGGTGTGGGTGGCATGTGTTGTGACGATGGCGGCGGTGGCGGCATCATGTGAGGATCACACTGAATAACATCGTATGCAGCCTGGGCCAGGTATGAAATCATGGAGCTGTCGACTGGTTGATAGACAAAGTGCTCCAGGGCGGCGGCGTTGAGCTCAGCCATGGAGAGCCCCGATATCGATGCCATGATGCTGTATGTGTGTGTGTGTGTGTGTATGTGTATATATGCGATGGATATATAAGAAAGAGAAAAGGGTGTCGAGTAGATGGTGTGTGTGAAGCTGGCTAGTGTATATAGTAGCAGCAAGCTTCAACAACAACAGCAACTACTATTACTTCCTGTCGATATCCCAAAGCAAAAGGCAACGTGTGTTGGTGTGGTACCAAGTAATAAATCAAAAAGAGACGTGTGAAGTCGAATATGAAAATCCGGGGAAAGGAGGTGAGGAAGCGGGAAGGCGGTTGGTATTATAAGAAAGAGAAACCAAACCACAGAGTTGCACTACCAGGTAGTAGCATGTATGACCCGTCAAGGGTGTGAGTGCGGTTGACTTTTGGAGCGGTGGGTGTGCAGGCAGGTACCTCGTAGTAAGAAGCGGTGCTGGGTGGTGTCACGAGGGCGGTGTCTCCAGACTGCGTCCAAAGTACCTAGCTATGTATCCTCTTACCCAAAGAGGACTAGAGTCAGAGACGATGGCCCTGGAGGTCAGATGGCTAAGGCAGGGCGCGAGTTGTGCGCTGGATGATAGGATGGGGTGGGGGATCCAGAACAGATCCGCCTAGAGCCACAGTAGTTATGCGTTGTGTGTCAACCGGGGGGCACGATGCGTAAGTGGGTGACGCCAGTGTGGGCGAGGCTGAGCCCCGTCGCAGTTGGGAATGGTTGGGCTTGGCCGTGATCGCCGTCAAGTGAGTTGCGAGTGGCCTGGGCTTTTCTGCTGCTGTTGCTGTTGCTGTTGCTGCCTCTCTGGCCTTTTTTGCTTTGCTGAGGGGGCCTCTGATTCACTGCTACTACCACTACCGACTAGCTGCTAGTAGCTGTAGTGGACACCTGGGCTGGTCAACAAAAAGTCGGGTTGCTTGCTTGCTGGCTGGGCTTCAAAAAAAGCTTCAGCTTGGCTGGCTAACAAGTACGAATAAAAAGTGCAGGGGGACCAGGGTCGCTAAACGTAGTAGTTCTAGCTGTGCAGCTTCTTCTACGCAGGGGGTTCTGGGCGCAGAATTATGCAGAACGAATACGGAATCCACAGGATGCCGCGGATTTGCTTGGGATTGCGGGTTCGGTGGCTTCGGTTTTGTCCGTTTTGTACGTCCGTGGTTTTTTGCTGCTCCTTCCTCGGGTTCGCTTTCCAACTGGGATATTGGAATCGTGACGGGAATAGACTTTTTGTGGTTATATTGCGCAGTGTCGACTTCTCAAACTCTGCGGCCGTCCCGAATGGATTGATGCAAGACAGAAAAGATACCGAGGTGCCGGGTCTCAGAACTGTGGCGCAATGGCAATGACCGGGTGCAAGAACAGTGTTCTTTTTTTTTTTCCTCCAAATAAAAGTCAAGTCAGCTCTTCAGCTTGACTCGGCTTGGGGCACAGATGCGTCTGTAGCGTAGCGTAATTTGCGAATGAATACGTGCAGCGGCCGCGCTGACAGAATGAAACTGGCGATTTTGTGCAGTATTGGCCGAATTGGTCTTTTTATGGCAACCGTCTTATGAATGAAGAAGGTGCTTTTTTGGCAACAATAAAGTTGTCAATCGTCCGGGCCAAAATGATGCAAGAACCAATAATTCAAATCCTCAGTGCGATAGTATGCGACGTAATAGTCGATCAAAGAGGCCGAAATCTCTAGCTGGTCCTCTTTTTTCTCGTATTTACTGGGTGGTTGGATTTCTGGGGATTCCGGAGCCAGCGGAAGCCTGTATGATTGCAAAGTGTCTAAGTTGGAAAGGAAGAATGCTGCTGATATCGTATCGCAGGTTATCCAGTGCCAAGTTTCTGGGCTGGCAGATCCAAGGAATTCAATAGAAAAAGATTGACTGAATGACAACTGTGCAATGATTGACAATGACGATCGTGGTATCCAGTGATGCGTATCGTGTGGTGTAGAGAATGCCGTGGCAAGGCAAAGCCACAAAACCGGGGGTTGGTTTAATGCTGTGGAGCTGGTGTCCGGAAGATCGCTGGGCAGAGCACGGGGCGGAAGGCGACAAAGACGCGCAAATAACCTCGTAACACTGCGGGCTGGGTAATGAATGCTCAATTGTCAACAGATGGACAAGAAATGTTGCAACCTGTTGGTTTGTAATCCGGTTGTCGGTCGATTGAGATAATTGCCGGTGTTGCACTGCCTGCTTCTATATGTTCTGCCTTGCGTACGAACTTGGGCGAAGTCAAGTTGTTGCTGCTGAATCCTGCCAGGGCTAAGGGATGACAATTATGTCGTAATGAATGAGTTGATGCTTGACGAAGCGGAATAAGGGCAACGGTCCCAAAGAAGAAAATAAAGATGGATGGATCTCGAAGAAAGAATGCAGAATGCAATGAATTATCAAAATAAGGGTGTGTACGAGATATTGATTTTCTCAAGACTAGCCAGAGTCTGAGATTGATCGAGGTGTATCGTAAGCTCGTGACGGGAGAGTACGTGGCTTGAACGTATCAAATAGAGAAGCCTAGCGGTTTCGTTTTCTGCCTGTCAAATTCAGATCTCCCTACAACGCTGCCGAATGAGCAAGGGATACACGTGAATTTGCACAAAAGAAGGGCAAACGCTGATGAACTAGTTCCGCTGTTTAAGGGCTGACGCAAGATTGCGAGAAGAAAAAAATTGATTCACGAATATGCCGTCGGAATCTGAATTAGATATATCCTCTCTTGTTTTTTTTCCGTATACATACATTGCTTTCTGATTCCGCCTCTTCTTCCCGCGCGATTACACTGAAGGTAGGTTATCCTACAATAGTACATCCATTCCCTTTCGAGGTTCGCTGTCTCTACTCACCCTGCCCTGGCCCAAGACAATTGGCCCAGAGAAATGCCAAAAGCGTCTGGCTCATCCGCGCCGTCCAGCGGCTTCCCCCTACATGTGCTTGGTGTACCTGCAACAGAGCCCAAGGGCTGAGGGTTTTTCCGCGCTCGTCAATGGCTGGAGGCGCTGCGATGCGCTGCATGATCTCCCTGATTGAATGGTCAACGACCCATGAAGCGGGCGACTGCGATTGCAGGCGATCCATTGGTGGGAGTGGCCCAGAGCCATCGAACATGAAACGAGCGAAGAGGCCTGAGGGCCCCACTCCCAAAGGGCCGCAACAAACTCGGCAAGCCAACGCAAGCTATGTACGGTGAGTATGTATGTATCTATCTACAGTTGTGCAGTACAACCGATTACCTATCTCCATGATCTCAATTAGGCGAGCGGTTCTGGCCTTTCCCATGTTCCAGCGTCTCGTCCAGGCACTGGCCAGCAGCGCCTCCGTTGCGGGCGGGGGTCGGCGACAAGCCTCCAATAAAAAAGTTCACATCTCTACCAATCATTCAGCGACAACAATAGAAACACCAGCCTCGAGCAGGAACCGGAACTGCAGCTCTCCAGAACTTTGCCAATCTCATCGGCGGCCAGCTGCCAGGCCAAGACAGGCGGTATTTTTGGATGTTGATCTGTATCAAAAAGCCGGCCGTTGACGGGTGGAAAGTATACACGCCGCAGGTACTGTATTGTACAGAGGATAGGCAGTCTGATACGGTAGGTCTGTATTGCCTACCTCCCTGTTTGTATTATCATTGATGCCGCCTATGGGAGATATCGATGCAGGTAATAGTTTTCAATATCAGACATTTCGTTGCCTATCAGTCACGGCCTTGATGATCCATGCCCCATGTATGACTTTCCATGTCAACCCAAAATGACGAGGCCCCGGAATCAGATTGACAAGCCTGATTCTGAACATGGCAATGACCACTGGTCCGCTAGTCATTGATTAGGGACAGCATGGACAGGCATAACGTTTTTCATAGTAGTCTTCAATCTATTTTGCAGTGCTTGCATAGTCCCGAGGGTTGCATTAAGGTTCATTTTGGGATAGACGAGCCGTGCGGTCCTTAATACGGTGGAGCAAGTCCAATATGTGGGAAACTCGGTGCAAGGGTATTGATGATCATGAAACGAGGGAAAACGTGCTCCCAGTTTCCCATACTGATCGATGCTCATTTGCCCATGTTCATGCTATCTGTTCGGGTGACGCCCGAAATCACTTAGTAATGCCTGCCGGCCGATCAACCGACCGATCTGGTGCAATCTCTAGGAGAACCGGCAGTGCAATATAGTGTGCCTGGTAGTCAAGTTTGTGCCTGGGCTGCCCTGGCTGCTGGCCAGTTTGATGGGTCCTTGATACAAGTCCTCAGGCCGTGCGGAGGAGCATTGGTAGCCTAGTGTTCAGAGTTTTTTCGTTGACAGGTGTATGCATGACATGGCGAGCAAAATAAAAAAAAAAGTGAAGAAGAAAAAGGAGTTCATCAGGTGTCAAGACATAATGATATAAGTTGGGTATGTTTCCCGATTGGGGAGTTCCTTTCCCGAAACGGGCAACTCTTGCTGCCACGTTATATTCGGACATGTGAGCCGTAATGTTGGCCCAGCTCTCTCCCGCGCATGTGGACACATGAGAAAAAAAAAGGCCATAATTTATTAGCCCGCTGCCAGATATTGCTTTCCGCAGCCATCATGAACTGCAAAAGGCTTGAAAAAGATTATCCGTATGGATGGACCGTCTGCATCCCCTTTACTTTGCAGCATCTTCATTTCTCCCTGAGCCGTTATGAACCTGTCTGATGAGCAGCCCGTTTTAGGTTATGTCTGTAACGAGCGCCGTAGTCTTGACACCCCCCGCCATGAGAAGAAGAAACGAGGGGGAAAAGCAACGCTTTGATGATTTGCATGTCGCTGAAGCTCATTTCGAACTGTGGCAAGCATTCCTGCTCAAATGTCGATAGTCTCCAAACATCACCTGTCTGTCGCATGCGCATGGCGCACAAACTCCGGGGGAAACATATGATCTACTATTGCGTTTGCATAGTTTCGAAACTAGGTCTGGTGGTGGTAAAACCATACCGCCTCCCCGCGAAGGAAGTTCTGGCCCTGCATCCAGCCAAGGTATTGGTATATGCACCTGGCATGCGCCGGTGCGCTACAT